TGTTTCCTCTTCGTGCCGGCTCTGTTCCCCCCTCACCTCACGCCTGTGTCCTCTGCTCCCATCGTCCTGCGGTGGAATGGACCAGCCTGTCCTTCGAGTGGGTGGGCTTCTCTTTCAGAGACCAGCCGGTGTCCTTTGGTGTCAGTGGGACTCAGTCTCTCCTTGTGGCTCCGCTCAGCATCAGCTGCCCACTGACCACCACCTGGGGCTGCAGGGCGAGAACTCAGCCACCTCGAAGGTCAAAGGGTGGATGGGGAAATGGATAAAAGGGTGGGTAGAGGATGTGAGAGTTCTGAGAGCTTCAGGGGGTTATGAACGAACGGGTGGGGGAGCCAAGAGGTGTTGGCACAATTGTAGCGAGTTGCTGCTCTGTGTCGGTCCTGGCAGAAACCTGTGATGACAGCCGGGCACGTGGGGGAGCGTGTGTGCGTGTGTGAGGCCCGGGCTGGCTGCGTCCTGGAGGCCCCCCTGCAGGCAGGAGAGTGGCCCGGGCAGACAGGGGACCCTTACAGCTCGGACTGATGGGCCGCCATGCTTCTCTCAGTGGTGACAGGTGGGCTGTGCCAGTTTCCACTGTCCTGTGGTACGTAAGAGGGACTCATTTTGAGGCACATCCACGGCACTGGGCAACTTATTTTTGAAGTTAAAAAAATTAATTTTTATTCTAATGACCAATGAGGCTGATTCACATCCTGCTCAGGTGTTTAAGCCAGGGGCTCGTCTCACCTTCACATCTGCCTCCCGTGTCTCTGAAAGGCCACGCCGTCCGCTCCCAGCTCCCCCTGCGGCGCCCACGCGGGCCCAGCCGCTGCCCCGGGCGGCCTGCAAACGTGGGGCGCAGCACAGAGGTTTCCATTTGAGTTGCTTGATTACAAATAAGACCTCATCTCTTCCTTATTTTTATTAGCTGTTTTTCCTTCTTAAATTGTCTAAAGGTATTGTTTTCTTTTAGAGTTTTTTTTTGCTTCTTTGCTTTTATTTGAACCTTTTTAACATACAATAAAACAGACACAGAAGACCACACATCAGAGATGTAGCTTTATGAGCAAAGCCACAGATGTGGCTTTACTACGCGATTGCCCCAGTCAGTTACTAATAAAAAATAGGACTGGGTCGGCTGCCCCGACAGACCCTCCACGGTCCCCACCACGGCCCTCTTCCCTCCTCCCCCACAAGTAACCCCTGTCTGGTGTTTTGAAAAGAAGAGGTGCTTTCAAACCTCTGTTAAAATTGTTACAGAGGGGACTTCTGCCAAGATGGAGGTGTAGGTGGAAGCACTGTGCCTCCTCCCACAACCAAGTTTAAAAACAACAAAGTTTTAGCAACAAAAACGAAGCCAAAACCACAGAAAATTGAACTTCAGGGAAGTCTGACAACAAACCCTTCAGCCAAACCGATAAACCGGTGAAGGAGGGAGCAGTGAGACAGACCGTGCAAGCCCCAGTGGCAGGAAGCGTCAGAGGGGACCGCCATTGTCCCTCTCTGACCCCGCCCCCACCTACAGCGTCACAAACCAGCGACCTGGGTGGCACACCCTCTGCCCCCCCAACACTTAAGGCTCCACTCCTTATACAGTAATAGGCACGAACAGATCAAAATATGGCTCAAGAACAACTCAGAGCCCCAGAGCCGATAAATCTAAGTGATGAAGAAATAGCCAAACTTTCAGATGCACAGTTCAAAATACTGGTGATCAGGATGCTCACAGAACTGGTTGATTTTAGTCACAAATTAGAGGAACATATGAAGACTAAACCAATTGAAATGAATGGAAATGCACAGGAAACTAATAGTAATGGAAAGGAAACTGGGACTCAAATCAAAGGAGTGGACCAAAAAGAGGAAAAAAATGACCAAACAGAAAAGAATGTAGAAACAAGAATTCAAAAAAATGAGGAGAGGCTTAGGAATCTCCAAGACATCTTTAAATGTTCCAACATCCGAATTATAGGGGTACCAGAAGGGGAAGAGGAACAGCCATGAGTGGAAAACTTATTTGAACAAATAATAAACAATATCTTCCCCAATCTGGCAAAGGAAATAGACTTCCAGGAAATCCAGGAAGCTCAGAGAGTCCCAAAGAAGTTGGACCCAAGAAGGAACACACCAAGGCACATCATAATTATATTAGCCAAGATTAAAATGAAGGAGAGAATTATAGAAGCAGCAAGAGATAAGGAAACAGTCACCTACAAAAAAGTGTCCATTAGACTGTCAGCTGATTTCTCAAAAGAGACCTTACAGGCAAGAAGGGGCTGGAAAGAAGTATTCCAAGTCATGAAATCCAAAGATCTACATCCAAGATTGCTCTATCCAGCAAAGCTTTCATTTAGAATGGAAGGGAAGATAAAGTGCTTCTCAGATAAGATCAAATTCAAGGAGTTCATCATCACCAAGCCCTTATTATATGAAATGTTAAAGGGACTTATCTAAGAAAAAGGAGATAAAAAAGATGAACAGTGAAAGGACAGCAAACTCAGAGTTATTAACAACCACACCTAAAACAAAAGCAAACTAAGAGGACAGCTAGATCAGGAGCAGAACCATAGAAATGAAGATCACGTGGAGGGTTAGCAACAGGGGAGTGGGAGAAGGAGAAGGGGGGAGAAGGTACAGAAAATAAGTAGCATAGATGGTAGGTAGAAAATAGATAGGGGGGGAGGGCAAGAATAGTAGGGGAAATATAGAATCTAAAGAACTTGAGACACGTGGTCATAAACTAAAGGGGGGAACGGTGGGGGAGGGGGTGTTCAGGGTGGAGGGGAATGAAGGGGGGAATAGAACAACTGTAACGGCATAATCAATGAAATATATTTTAAAAAATTGTAGATATGTTTACTGTTTTGGTTTTTGCTTGTTATTTTGACTTTTTAAGAATGAACTTATTCCTCTGGCTGGTGTGGTTCAGTGGATTGAGTGCTGGCCTGTTAACCAAGGGGTCGCTGGTTCAATTCCCAGTCAGGGCACACACCTGGGTTGTGGGGCCTGGTCCCCAGTAGGGGGCACATGAGAGGCAACCGCACATCGATGTTTCTCTCCTCTCTTTCTCCCTTCCTTCCTCTCTCCCTCAAAATAAATAAAATCTTAAAAAAAAACAGAATGAACTTCTAGAAGATTTTCATTTATAACAAGTCAGTCTGTCATGATTTTTTCACAGAAGGCTTTCATCTGCAATGGCTTTACCTCGTCCCTTCCTTCCACCCCCGAGTAACAGTTTTAGGGCGTTTTTAAGTCTGACATGTCCGATTCACTATTTCTGCTTTTGTTTGTATTATTTACTCCTAGTTTCTGGTGAATTTTCATTTCTTTAAAAATGTTTCATTATGGAAGCTTACTCTTTCCCTCTCCTTTAAAAAATAATGAGCACACCTTGACCTGTATGGCTCCATTGGTTGGAGCATCGTCCCGTAAACTGGACGCTGCAGGTTCGATTCCTGGTCCGAGTACGTGTCTAGACTGTGGGTTTGGTCCCTGGTCCAGGCTTGTGCGAGAAAAAACTGATTGATGTTCCTCTCTCCCCCTTCCCCTCTAAAATCGATAAGTATGTCCTCAGATGAGGAAAAAATAATAATGATGAAGCATTTAAGGCTGTGAATTTACCTCTGTTTTTGGTTTTACTTGTTTGTCCCTGGATCTTTTATAACATGCTGAACTTTTGTTTTTTGTATTTAAAAAGCGGTTTATCTTTTTTTTTTTTAAGAATTTGTTTTTTTTTAAAGATTTTATTTATTTATCTTCGGAGGAGAAGGGAAGGAGAGAGGGAGAGAAATATCATTGTGTGGTTGCCTCTTGTGCACCCCCTGCTGAGAACTGGCCTGCAGGGAACTGGCTTGCAACCCAGGCATGTGCCCTGACTGGGCATCGAATCTCGATCTTTTGGTTCACAGGCCTGTACTCAATCCACTGAGCTACACCAGCCAGGAAAAAGGGTTTATCTTTACAAGGAATATAATATCAATTAATTGCCCTATCATTTTTATTTAGGCCTACTTGATTAATTAGAAATCAGTATTTATGTTAATCTCTGCATATTATTTTTTCTTTTAATTTTTCCAGAACTTTTGGCAAAGGAAATTTTTGTGGCCAAGACTTTTTGTACAAGAAAAAATTTTTGGGTTGTCTTTACTATTGCTTCATATAAAAGAAATCTGATCCGTTTCATCCTTTTGCCTTAAATTCTTCATTTTTTTAAATCAAAATGTTTTCTGATTTCATTAACAAATGTTAATTGCATAGTGCACGTTATGGGTGTGCAACATAAATAATATATGAAATGCGGTCCTTCAGGCCACTGCAGGTGAATTAGGGTCAGGTTCTCCCTCCCCTCCCCCTCCCTCAACACACACACACACACACACACACACACACACACACACACAGCTCCTGACCTGGCCCTGGACCTCCCCCTCCTTCTGTCTGCCTCCCTGTCTCCTGGCTGCTCTGCCACCCACTCTCTACTCCGCTTCCAGAAGAATGTTCCAGAGACAGAAGGTCTGCTCGTGCCACTGCCTTTAGAAGCACCATCGATGGTGTGCGGCTGCATTGTGAATGTGCTGAATGCCTCCAAGTTGCACCCTTCAAAATGGTTGTGACTCTGAATTTCCTTGTTTGTATTTTCCCATAACAGAGCTCACAGGGGATTTAAAAACACACACTCTGCCTTCGCTCCAGCCACAGGACACTTTCTGGGACCTGCACATCTGAGGCTCCTTCATCTCCCTGCTGTGGTCCCGCTCACGCCCTCCTCCCTCCCATTTCTCCTCCCGTCTCCCTAACTCCTCCCTCCCCACCCCTCTCCCCTCTTCCCTCCTTCAAATTCAGCTTGGAGGGACTCCTTCGACCCTTGCCCGTACTCCCAGGCTGGGCGTGCGCCCCACTGTGAGCTCTGCTGCGCCCTTCTACCCTGGCCATTCTGGTCTGTGCTGTGACCATTGATTTACAGGGAAGACATGTTTCGTTTCCCTTAAATGCACTTTCTGTTCTCTTTGTGTCTCGAACAGGTGTCAATTCCTTCCAGGTGTACATGGCCTACAAGGATCTCTACCAAATGTCCGATAGCCAGGTAGGCGCTGCCGCAGGAGGCCCTGCTGTCCTCGCTGGGCAGGAACGGCCAGGGCAGAGCTCGGGGGTTGAGTCCTGGTTGTGATGCTGAACTGCCACATGGCCTTGTGTGTCAGCGTCCTTCCTGGGCCTGTGTCCCTTTCTGGCTGCCAGCGTGAGGTGGAGTGGGGACCCCTGCATGGAGGCTCCCACACCCGCCTCACCCTCAGCATCACCTGAAGGACTCGTTAAAAACACAGGCTCCTGGACCCTGTCGTAGGCGCCCAGGGGTGGGGCTCCGGAGTCTGTGTTTCCCAGGAACTCCGCCCCTGATTCTGGGGCTCAAGCCGGGGTGGGGACCATTCCATGAGCTCTGACCCTGGAGGAGAGCCGTGGCCGCCCCCCAGGCTGACTGCAAGCTGCCTCCTTTCCCAGTCCCCTCGTTTGTGTGGCGTGCGCCTCTCCCGCCTGCCCGGGAGGAAGTGAGCTGAGGAAGATGATGCTCTGTGTGGTACGAGTGCAGGCTTGCTGGTTAGCGGGCACCTGGCCTCCCTCCAGTGGGACTGCTGGCTTTGTTCTGCTATCCTTCCCGTGCCTGCTAATTCTTAAGAATACGTGGCTTGTCCTGGCTGGTGTGGCTTGGTGGATTGAGGGTCAGCTTGCAAACCAAAGAGTCACCATTTGATTCCCAGTCAGGGCATGTGCCTGGGTTGCAGGCCAATTCCCAGCAGGGGACACACGAGGGGCAACCGTACATTGATATTCTCTCCTTCCCTTCCCCTCTAAAGATAAATAAATAAAATCTTAAAAATAATAGAATACGGGAGATGGATGCTGCAGCCAGGTGGCTTTGCTGGGAGCCCAGGCCTGGCTCTGCGGCCGGGGGCCGCTTTCCTGACCACTCCGTGCTTTTGGCTCGGGGGCTGCCGGAGGCCGAAATGATTTACTGCCGGTGAGGCAGTAGGATGGTGCCTCTGGGTGTTAATTAGCTGTTAATCATTGTCACCACGGAGTGGGAGGTGCATGGGAGAAGCACCCGTCCTGCCTCTGGCACAAATGCCCCCAGTCAGAGGAGGTCTTGCTCCTAGGTGCCCCGCAGGCCTCCCCTGCAGCCGTCCGTGGGCTGAACGCTGGTTCGGGTTTGTGGAGAGCGCAGCACTTGGTGTTCAGCATTGCTGCGATTTCCACCTGTCTCGTTCTAATGTCTGCTCCCCTGAAGCCCCGTGACAAAGGGCGCCCGCCCAGCAGGCTTTGGGTGCAGGTCGCTGGAAGTGCTCCCCGCCTCCCAGCATCCCCCCCACCTCTGCACCTGCTGCCCGCACCTGAATGGTGGGGAGCGGAGTTTCCTGGCCCATGTGAAGAGCACAGTTAGGATTTGAGAGCCCTGTAGAGGGAGCATGGCGGCTTTGCCCTCCCGAGTGGGAAGGTGGGATTGCAGCTCCTTCATGGGCGGGGCAGGGCCCGTACTGGCTGAATCCGGGGATGCTGGGCAGGTGGCATGTTATCTGAGTGTTAGGGTTATTGGAGAGCACGCCCCCTCCCTGATCCCACTGTGTTCTGTCAAGTGACGAGGGTTGAAGTTCTGTGAACAGGCTCATCTCCCGAGGTCTGCGGCGCAGGCCTGGCAGGATTAGCTACACAATTTCAGGAAAACGGAAAAGGACTTCCCAGCACCAGCCGTCACCACCAGCAGGCACTACCATGGCACGAATGCCAAACAGAGCCAGAGGTGGGGACAGGCGCCAGAGGGAGGGTGCAGTCCAGCTGTGCTGTGACTTCCATCAGTTCTGCCTCACCCTGGCCTCCTCAGGGTCAAGGGCAGATCCCTCCCAAGGTCACTTGCTGCTGATCGAGACATTCCATTCTTTCGCCGAAGCGGTTGTGCTGCTTCTGTGGGGGCCGCGAGTGATGGCGGTGTGAGTGGAGGGGCGGCCTTCGCCGGTGGTCCCGCTGCTCGCCTCAGCCCCTCCTGTCTCTCCTCCCTAGCTGTACGAAGCCTTCACCTTCCTGAAGGGGCTGGGAGCCGTGATCCTGGTCCACGCGGAAAACGGAGACTTGATAGCTCAGGTGAGTGCTGTGCACGCCCCCCCCACCTCCGTCGGCTTCTCCGTGTCGTATGACGGGGGGCACAGGTGCAGTGCGGTGACCAGACTGCGTAGCAGAGGTGAGGCCTGCGCACCCCACCTGCGGCGAGGCCCCTGGCAGGCCCCAGGGTCTGCGCACCTCGGCTCGCTCACCGGTCCCACGGGGGTGATAACATTACCTGCCCTGCGCACCTGGTGGGGCTGGTCCTTTGCCTAATCTGCACGGACAGGGGACTGCACAGGGGCACAGAAACCAGGACTCGGCTCAGTGGGAGCCTCTTAGAAGTTGCCTCTCACACAGAGCTCAGGTTTGCCTGGCTTTGAACTTCGTGAAGACGGAACTGTGCATCATCCTCTGGCTGCTTTTGCTCAGCACTTGGTCTGTGAGATTCGTCCCTCCTGTTCCACAAACCAGGGACTTCCCTTTTGCTTCCCTGGGCTGTAGTTCCGCTGCAGGAGTCGGTCAGAATGTATTATCCGGGGGATTTAGGTAGTTTCCACTGGGGGGAGGCTGTTGTGCACCAAGCTCCCGGGAGCCTGCTGGTTCAGTTACACACACATTCTGTTACACACACGTTCACACCCGTTCATGTGTTCCCGGGAGTGAGATGCTGGGTGGTGGCTGTGTTACTTAGTGTCAGCAGCTACTGCTGAACAGTTTTCCAGTGGAAACAGAGGACCCGCCTGGACCCCGTGCTAAGCTTCACATCCCGGGCTGCTCGGCCCCCCTCGCTGAGAACGTCAGAGTCCGCTCCCCGGGCTCCCGGAGTCTGCTCCGTGGCGTACGCCTGCTCTGCAGACTCCCAGGTGTGGCCCCCGCGGTCTCCTCTGCATTCTCTCGGCTTTTTCTGCCCCTCCGGTGGGATTTCTGGGGGAGCAGGAGTCCTGCGGGTAGTCGGCCGCGGTCTTTTTCCAGAAACCCCGCTCTTGTCTTTAGGGGTCTGTGTTTTCCTTCCGTTATGGGACGTTTGTCTTTCCCCCACCCCTCTCCGTGTGTCCCTCCCTCGCCCCTTCCCAACAGAAAGAGTAACTGACGTTCCCACACAGGGCTCTGTCCCCCTCATAACACCTTTATTTATGCGCACACCCCCTCCAGTAGCTGGAACTACTCCGTCGTCGCTCACTTAGACCCGCCCCACTGTTAGATCTGGAAATTGCTTCCGGGTTGTCTCCACCGTAAGCTCAAACTTGATAACCACGGAGGCGGTGGGAATTGCGGGTTTGTCCGTGGGGGACCCGGCCCAGGGTTCCTGGGAAGAGCGACGGCCCAGAAATGGTGCAGGTTGAAATTAGTGCCCACACAGCTGATATCATGGCAAAGGAAAAACAAAATTTTTTTTGAGAAATGGAAGTATTCCTGGGGTGAGAAAACTCGGAGCAAATGGGCTTGAATCTGGGTCATTATCTTAGGGAGCCAGTTCAAGGTTACATGACGAACTTGAGGCAGAGGCCTCCCGCTGGAAAGGGGGGTGGTTCCAGGAAGGGGAAGGGGGTGTCTACTGTGTAGAGACCCCGAGAGCCAGCAACCAAGAGAGGCGCTCCAACCAAACACCAGGTGTGGCACTGCCATTTTACACACTCGGCCTCACTGACTCAGGGCAGGAACTTGGGGACACAGGCACTCTTATCCCCAGAGTGAGGGAGAGAGGACGAGACTTGAGCAGTGGCCCCGAGTCACAGAGATGGGCCTGGAGCGGGACTCCCAGTTTGGAGAATTTCCATCTAAATGTCACCTGTCTCCCCAAGGGAGAGCCCTGTGGCAGAGGCTCGGAGCCTGGAAGGGTGGAGGTGGCCTTTATGCGCACTCATCTGTCACCCCCACCTCTTCTGGCTGGTCCGGGGAGATTGGGCAGAACCCAGAGGTAGTCCGGGGCAGCCCCGGGGAAGGTGGGCAGGTGCAGTGGGGAGAGGCCGGGAGCACCGGGTCTCCCAGCCCAAGTCAGAGCCTGCTGACCCCTGCCGCTCTGGGCTCCCCTGTCGGTCCTCCGGCGGGGGCGGGGGGGGGGGGGATCAGAGGAGCGGCCCCTCCCAGCTCTGATGTTCTGCATTCACTGATTCCTTGTTCTTGTCTTGCAGGAACAAAAGCGGATCCTGGAGATGGGCATCACAGGGCCCGAGGGCCATGCTCTGAGCAGACCCGAGGAGGTACAGGGGCCCTGGACGGGGTGTGACCCCAACACTGCTTACCTGACGCTGTTCCAGCCAGGACATCCTGGCCAGAGCCTCTGCCCACCCCCACCCCGTGCCCCTGCAAGAGCACGGGCCTGCCTCTGACTCTAGGCCCGGCCGGCTACAGGCCAGGCCGAGGCGCCAGGGAGGGGCCCTGCCCCCAGAGCCCAGGCAGCCCAGGAATGTCACACCAGGCCCCAGGGACAGTCAAGTGTCCACACTGGACAAGGACCGAGGACTTGGCACATTTGATGTGAAGGGGGAGCCGCACGTCCCAGGCCTCCTGCCTGTGAGACGGCTGTCCGTGCTCGCTGCCCGCTGTGCTCCGGAGACTGGAAAACAGCGCATTCCCCTGGGAGCAGCAGAGTGTGTGAGCGTGTGCGTGCATGTGAGCATGCCTGTATGTGCAAACGGCTGGTGCACTGTGTGTGAGAGCATGTGTGTGCACATTGTATGCATGTGTGGGGACGTGTGTGCACAGTTGTGTCTGTGTGTAGGGCGGGCCGAGGAAGGCAGGCAGGGTACTGGGGAAGCTTTTGAGTTGAGGATGTTCCCTGTGTCCTAATTACATCACGTCTGTCCTGCCAGACCTCTGCTCTGGGCCTGGGTCGAGCTGGCCGTCTGGGGACACAGCTCCAGTAGACAGACCTCTCTCCCTGGGGCTCCACACTGGGGCGCCACTGCCCACGAGCTGCTGGCGTCTGGTCCCGGCAGCGGTGCTCACAGACTCAGGCCTCACGGACGCCACTGCCGGAGCTGCGTGCCGGCAGCAGGATGTGCCCAGGGCAGCACAGGCTGGGAATTAAACACAGAACTGTGCAGAATGTAACTGGACCTTTTGTTCCAGAAGTGCCAGCCTAGAGGGGCAGAGATGCAGCCTGGTGGCTGGCGGGTCCAGCTGGGGGAGGAACAGCATTCGCGGCGGCACAGGGCTCACCTACGTCAGGCGTTTATATAAATGACCAGTCACCTCGGGGGCCCGAGGTGGCCTTTTGATGCCGCTTTGTTTACCTCCTCCTAACAGAACAGGCAGAATTCTTCCCAGTGGTGCAAGGATGTAATCCCGCCTTCCAGTCCTGTACCCAAATCTACTCTGGCTTAACATTTTCTTTCTTTTTTTAAATCTACAATATTTTTCCTTCCTTTGGGGTCGTAGGGTTTCCTCTGACCACATGTAAGGAAAGGGGGAGCCCTGGGGACTCGGAGTGGGGGGATGGTGGCCCTGGCCGCCACCTCTGGTGACCCGGGGTTTGCTGTGTTCCCAGCTGGAGGCCGAGGCCGCGTTCCGGGCCATCACCATCGCCGGCCGCGTCAACTGCCCTGTGTACATCACCAAGGTGATGAGCAAGAGCGCGGCGGACATCATTGCCCTGGCCAGGAAGAAAGGTAGGCCGCCCAGTGCCCGGTCTCCTGAGGACGGGGGTGTCTGGCAGGTTCAAGTTCACCAACAGAGCCCCCACCCAGGGCAGAGACTCGCTGCCTGTTGCCGAGCCCGAGCCCTGTGGGCCTCCTGCATGTCTGTGAAGGGAAGAGGGGCAGGCGGTTTTAGACTTGAGTCCTGAGTCCCTGTGTGCGGCGTGGGACCGGGGACAGGTGAGTCTGTGTCGTGCTGGCGCTGGGCGATTACCCCAGTGCTGCTGCCTGCACCGCCTCAGGCCAAGATTGTTCTGTGGAGGTACGTCTGGCCCCTCCCTGGAAGGCGGGATGGGTGGGATTTCGGGGCGGTGGGTGCTCGGGAAGCAGAGGGTTGGAAGCACAGCCCAGCTCCCTGGCGGGGCTGGGGCGGCTCTGACGTACGTCACAGTTTCCAAGGGGTCCCCATGCACTGAGCTACAGGTGCCTGCAGACGTGACTCAGGGGTGACTCCCCTGGTCTTGACTTGTTTCCCCTGTGTCACATCCTCAGTCCCCAGCCAGTGTGTGCTGGAGTCACTCCCCCAGTATGACACCTGAACTTGACTCCTTACTTGATGACCTGCTTCTGGCAGGTCCCCGACTGAAGAGCAGGACACGTCTGTGTGCCTCGGTTGACCAGGCTGTAAAAAGAGGTCATAGTCCTGTCCAAATCCGGATGGCACGACCTATCCAGACTCTTGCTGTGTGTGCATCAGCCGGGCACCGGGTGCTGGGGGGCGGGCCGTCTGGGGTGAAGCCTGGGAGAAGGACGGATGATTTATCCCCTTCGGCCGATTTATTTTCTCCAGCTGAGATCTCCTACTTTTTCACATCAGCACCTCTGATGAGAGACCACCCACTCTTAACCACTCACGTCTGTGTTTGTCCCCCAGGTCCCCTTGTCTTCGGCGAGCCCATCGCGGCCAGCCTGGGGACCGACGGCACCCATTACTGGAGCAAGAACTGGGCCAAGGCAGCGGCGTTTGTGACCTCCCCTCCCCTGAGCCCGGACCCCACCACGCCTGACCACTTGACCTCCCTGCTGGCCTGGTGAGAGCGGGTGGGGGGCTCCTGGGGCTGGGGGCGAAGGGCGGAGACCCGGCCGCCTCAGACAGTGTGGGCTGGAGGGGGGAGGGCTCAGCCCGCAGCTCTGGTTGTTCACGACAGGCCTTCGGGGGCCGAGGGGCTGATTGACTTGGTGACCCTTCCTTTGCATGTTGACCGCCTCCTGCTCCTCCGGCGACTATGGAAGCACCTCTTGTTTGTGCCCCCCCCACACTGTGGATATTGGGGAGCAGCCAGGGTCAGGAATGCTGAGGGCTGTGTCTCTCCGGGCCAGTCTTGTCACCTGTAACGCCCCTCTGCCTGGCATGGCGTGTCGGCAGAGCTGGCGGAGACAGTGTGACGAGGGCCTGGAATTTTGGACTCATTAAGTGGCCACTGTGCTCGGCTGCGTGCACACAGTAGGAGCACAGCCACAGTCACGCCTCCTGTGTGGTTAGCCAGGCGGAAATCTGGTTCCCCCCAAAGATGCAAAACTCTGGACTCTGGCCACCTCTCACCCCCTTGGCTGTGGCCATCCTGGCTCTGGCTGCCGCCATCTCTCTGTCCCGACAGGCCTTTCTACTTCCCTGTCGCCCCCTCCATGTCCCCATGTGTCACTGTCTGCTCCCAGCAGGCACCCAGGTATTTTAAAACCCAAATCAGACCAGGCCCCTGCCCTTGCCGGGGACCCCCAGGGTTCTCTCCTCACAAAGCGAGAAACACAAGCCCCCCACGTCCCACAGGCAGAACCTGATCTGGCCCCCACTCCCCGGCCAGCCCCCTGGATCAGAACATTTGAGGGCAGGATAGCCTGACCCCTTTTCTGGCTGGGTCCCTCCCTTCCAGGTGAGGAAGAGGAGGCTCGTCTGGGGAGCCTTATCCAGACCAGCCCAGAGCCAGCACTAACCTAGAACCTTCTCCCCATGCCCAGAGCTCCTTCCAGTTTGCAGCCAGACAGCACGGCCAAAGGGCCTTCCGACGTCACTCCCTACGTCACTTCCTAGTGTCCGTGGTATGGCCCAAGCCCTTTCCCCACAATCTCTCCGGGGAGTTAGGTTCAAGTCTGTGTTGAGCGTCTGAAGTTGGGATTTGCCCCCCTCACCCTGAACTCAGCTTTGAGCCCTCCCTGTCTTCCTTCTTGCCAGCGGGGACCTGCAGGTCACGGGTAGCGGCCACTGTCCCTACAGCACCGCCCAGAAGGCGGTGGGCAAGGACAACTTCACTCTGATCCCCGAGGGTGTCAACGGGATCGAGGAGCGGATGACCGTGGTCTGGGACAAGGCAGTGGTAAGGCGGCACCCCATCCGCCCCCCCAGGAACACTGTAGAAGCTTGGGCCCGGTGACACCGGTGAGATGCGGTAAAGGCTGTTACGCAGATGTGAGCCTGCCTGTGAGTGGCTGGGGCAATCTCGGCTCCGATGACGCAGCTGGGGGAGGGGGGAGGTGCAGACTCCGCCGCCAGGTTTGGGCGTGTGCCTGTTGGCCCCGCTCCTGTTACGGGATGGTCTTCTCATCCACGCCTCTTGCCCTCAGGCAACTGGCAAAATGGATGAGAACCAGTTTGTCGCCGTCACCAGCACCAACGCAGCCAAGATCTTTAACCTGTACCCCAGAAAAGGGCGGATCGCCATGGGCTCGGACGCTGATGTGGTCATTTGGGACCCCGACAAGGTGAAGACCATAACAGCCAAGAGTCACAAGTCGGTAAGTCCTGGACGCAGTCACTCAGGTTCCCCGCCAGTGGGAGAGACGGGGTTGCATCGGGATTGGCTTAGAGGCTGCTCCCCCCACCCCGCCCCTGTCTTGGGTCCTTGCGGAAACTCTCAGACTCAAAGCTGGGAAGCCCCACCAGCTCCAGTGTTTGTCCTCAGTTGAGCTATGGACCTGGAGACGCTTGGATCTGGTTGAGAACCCCCTGCTCTGTTTGGTGCCCACTCCTCAGCAGCAGCAAAGGAAGGGGCTGCCCGGGAGCGGGTCTCTCGAGCCCCGGACCCCTTCCCTCGCCCAGCAGACAGCCACCCCCAGAACCCAGCCTGCAGAAGCGCAAACCCGTTCCACAGCAGAAATGTGCACGTGGTTCACATTCGCTTAAAAACAGACCCAGTCTCGCTTGTAACTAACCAGGTGCAAGTCGTGACGGTCAGATGCGTTTCTTCACTTGGGCCAGGGACTGAGCGCCAGAGGTTCCTAGGACACCGGCGAGCTCAGGGTTTTGCTGGAGATTGAAACCGGCACCACCTTTTTGGAGGGTGGACTCATCAAAGGCCAAACCTATTTACCCTTTGGCCCCAAACTCCACCTCCAACAAGATGGGCACACCTGCCGTGCGGGCACACACCAGGGCCTTTCGGCACGGTGTGTATCAGCAGAGCCAGGGAAGCCACCGATTGCTCGTCCCTGGGAACAGATCAGAAACCGATAGTACGTCCCCGTGGTGGGATGCGGTCCAGCAGGCTAGTGACGTTAGAAGCACCTTTATGCCACGTCCGTGTGCTGATGTGGACGCTGCTGAGAGAAGGCAAAGGCGCAGGGAGCACTTGCCACGCCCGAGACAGGGATTTGGGTTGGACACTCGGGGGCACAGAAAAACCCGCCTGAGGCAGCGGTCTCTGGCCGAGGTAGAAGAGGGGCTGACTGTTTCAGAAGCACGCGGTTTCAGTCTTTTGAGTTTGCTTACTAGGTACCCTGACCCCCTTTTTAAATAATCAAAAGCAGTCGGCTAGTGCTAGCTGTACTCCCTTTAGGAGTGATGAAAACAATATGTAGTTTAAGGGAGTGTCTCTCAAAGTGGAAGGAAGGAAGGAAGGAGGGAGGGAGGGAGGGAGGGAGGGAAGGAAGGAAGGAAGGAAGGAAGGAAGGAAGGAAGGAAGGAAGGAAAAAATATAAAAGTGACCCTCCCCATTGCTGGAGGAGCTTCACAGACAGGAAACCTTACAGCTCCCCGCCCACCAGCTCACCCCTCCGTGGCCCATGTACAGTCAGTTGGTCTGGGGTCTTCAGGGTGTAATGATTTAGCAATAGGCAGCGAATGCCTTAAAAAAAAAACCTCATGTCCCTTGGCCCAGTAATTTAATTTTAGAAAACTGTCCTATCCTAAAGAAAACATGTTGTTTAAAAAGACGCAGAAATGCCCATTCTATTCAGCTCAGCTATGGCGCCCGACTCCGGGAGCCCCAGTCCCATTCCTGCCAAGTCAGACGGTATCATATCAGTTTGGTTATACACATCCTCTCCCCAAACGCCCAGCAGCCAGGGGTTGGTCATGCAGCTGAGAGGCAGGTGGTGGGACGTCACACAGCCCCAGGGGAGGCATCTGTAGGGGGAGCCCCGGGGAGCGCCTGGGGTCTGAGTGGCGCAGGTAACTGCCCAGGGCCTCGTGGTGGCCATGTGGCGGCTCTGAGGGCTCAGCGGCACTGTCGCCGGCAGGCTGTGGAGTACAACATCTTCGAGGGCATGGAGTGCCACGGCTCCCCGCTGGTGGTCATCAGCCAGGGCAAGATTGTCTTTGAGGACGGCAACCTCAGCGTCAGCAAGGGCCTGGGCCGCTTCGTCCCGCGCAAGCCCTTCCCGGAGCACCTCTACCAGCGCATCAGAATCCGGAACAAGGTGCGCGCCCCCGGCCCTGGTGCACGCCGCACGGTGTCCTGCCTGCCATTCTGGCCGGAGTCAGGGCCGGACTGCAGAGGCTCCAGGCCTGGCAGACTGTACAGGGCTGTGCACTCATGGGGGCGGGCGGGCGCTCGGTGTGGCTGGCCAGGATGCATGTGCTCAGCACCTGCTCCGTGCGGTGTCTCCACCCTCTGGCCGAGGATCAGAGCCCTGGAGCTCGGTGCTGTGAAGGACTGACCAGTCCAGGGCCAGGAAAGCGCGGAGCCTGCAGCATGGCCGTTCCAGTACATGGCCCCTAGTGAACTGGAGGGTGGCCATCACCCTCCTTCCCCTTCCATTCTGCACCTTTCTCTCTCTCCTTTCCTTGAAGAGTCTTGCCATTGACCTTGGGAGGTCAGAGGCCATGGAGCAGGCTCTGGCTCATCTGTAGTCCAGCTCAGAGGAGGAGGAGGTGTGCCCACACCTCAGATAAACTCCCACTACAGTCCACTGTCTTCCCTCATTGGGTCCCTGCCATCACCGTGGCGACCTGCCTCCCACACCAAAGGGCTGCCCACCTTGCACGTGTGTGCGCGCGTGTGCCTATGTGTACATCGTGCATTTCTTTATGCGCAGGATCATGTGAATTGTGTGTGCACGCATGCACCTGTGTGTGTGGAGTATGTGGGTGCGCCCATCCCCGGGGCAACCCCAGGTCACTGTCCTGCCCCCAGGGCCCTGAACCAGCAGCACAGGTGTGCCTCGACCCTCAGTCACCCTCCTCTCCCTCCGTTCAGGTCTCTGGATTGCAAGGGGTCCCCAGGGGCATGTACGATGGTCCCGTGTACGAGGTGCCAGCTACACCCAAATATGCAACTCCCGCTCCTTCTGCCAAATCCTCGCCTTCCAAACACCAGCCTCCACCCATCAGGAACCTCCACCAGTCCAACTTCAGCTTGTCAGGTGGGCTGCCGGGGACCCACACTCCTGTGGAAAGGGACGCAGGGCCTCTGGCATGCAGCGAGGAGGGGACCGTGGGGCCACCCTCTCCTCCTCTCCTCTGGGTGGGGCAGTGCGGGCTGGGGAAGGCCAGGAAGCTGAGGGAGCCCATGGGCAGCTTGGAGGTACCAGACCCTGGCTTACAAAGAGTCTGCCTAGAAATTGGCTCATCCTGAGTCCCACCTGGGGACGTTTTTACACTTTTATCTTTTACCCATGGAGCTAAGCATGGCACCGTGACGGGGCAGCCACTGCCTTTAGCCTATCCCCTGCAGTTTATCACGCGCTCTCGGGACTCATGGCTTGTCTTCACAGCAACCCTGTGCGTAGGCTTTGGTTATTCTTACTGCTTTAAAAAGGAAACGGCAACCTTGAGTGCTTCTGTGTCAAACGGCTGGGGCTTGATGCTCAGGCAGTGTGTGTGGGCAAAACCTGAAGTTGGCGGGTCCCTGAGACTCGGGGAAAGCCCCAGGACACGTGCCTGCCATTTCTCAGGATTGCCACAGGGGGGCGGGCACGCACACATTGGGAACACGGATGTGAGGTCACCCTGCAAAGTAATGGAGGCAACAGGCTCTGGGAACGTGGCAATGAATAAGTCCTCAGTCTATCCTGGGGTCAGCAGACTTTTTTAAAAAGATTTTATTTATTTAATTTTTGGTAGAGGGGAAGGGAGGGAGATACAGAGGGAGAGAAACATCAATGTGTGGTTACCTCTCATGTACCCCCCCACTGGGGACCTGGCCCACAACCCAGGCACGTGCCCTGACTGGGGATTGAACAGGTGACCCTTTGGTTTACAGATGGGCACTCCATCCACTGAGCCACACCAGCCAGGGCAGCAGACTTTTTCTTAAAGGGCCAGATAGTGTTTTAGGCTCAGTACACCAGGCTATTACAAGCTATGAAATGGGCATTAAAATGCAGCCATTTAGAACTTATTCTTAAATCATGGGCTCCAGGGAACCAGGCAATGGGCCGGGCTTTGTCGGGGGCCCTGGTGTGCGGACTGCTGGTCTGGCAGGAGTGCAGGACCTTGAAACAGAAAAGGGGGACGCTGGGCGGAAGAGAGTGGAGGGGCGGAGAGAGGGTGAAACGTGGATGCCGGTTGTGGGCGTGGCGGACCTTTCCTCCATCCGAGGCGGTGGAGCTCGGCGATCATGCAGTGGGGACACAAACGGGGGGCCTGTGGTCCGGACCACCTTGCTTTCCAGGAGCCTTTTGTGCGAGAGCAGCGTACGCACTGGTGTGCTTCTGGTGCTCCCAGAGAGCCAGTGTTTTTGCACAGACAGACAGGAAACACAACTGGACTCAGTGAGCAGAACAGAGGTCGGACGCAGTGCCGGGAAACACCACAGTCAGGTGTGCGAGCCACCGTTCTGTTCTCAAGTCAGCACCCGAGAAGAGCAGTGAGGCAAACTGTCAGCCGGAAGGGCCACGACCTCCCTGGCTCTCTGAGGCTACCAGCACTGCCTGGGGCAGCCGCACAGCAATGTGGCAGTTGACTTCATTAGCTGCCAGCCACATTGATGCCTCTGGCCACCGGGAACAGCCTCACAGCCATCCTTTTACCTACCTGTGTGAAGTGACGTTGCACAGGTGTGGCATGGTCTAAGGCACGGGGGTCCTTTTGTCCTGATGGGTATTTTCGGAGGACTTGACGTGGAGCCAGGAAGGTGCAGGTGATCACGAGGGGAAGAGGTGGTGAGCAGAGGCCAATTTTGGGGCCTTTGGGAGGTTCCTGAGCCACCAGGAAGAGATGTTGCCTACCAACCAAACAAGGAGAGAAAATCCAAGTCTGCACTCTGATCCGTGTGCCCCAGAACTTACCCCAAGCATGCAATGTCTCGGGCAGAGGGGGCCGTGGTCCTTTTTTTTCAGAAAAGGAAGTGAGGCCAAGCGAGGGAAGTGCTTGATTACAAATTGCCCAGAGTACAGGCGTGGGTCGTCCTGGAGCCTCAGTCTCCTGCCTGGACCCAGAGCCTTCCCCCCAGCACCCCTCCTTCCACTTACCCGCCAGTCACTGCCTGTTCGTTCAGTAGGTACTTACTGAGCACCAGGCGCCGGGCTTGCTGCTGGGCTGTTAAGTCTTTATTGAACTGCAGGGGATGTTTGAGATTAGAATGGCTGGTCGGCTTTGCAGATCTAAAATAGAGACCGCTGCATCCTCTCTGCAGATCTGCCCCCTGCAGGTGATGTGGGTGATTGCGGCTATGAGCAGCTCACACACACACACACACACGCACGCACGCACGTACGCACGCACCACACTGAACAGCTTTGGAGCGTCAGGCCCTGGAGACAGACCTCTAGGTGTATCCCCAAGAAATGTGAGCCGAGCCTCAAATTCTCCTTTTGTATATCGTGTACTGTAAGCTCAGCAGCATTGTTAAAGCACCAAGTCCGTTCCTGCACACAGTAGGTCCTCCATCGATGGGTACCCACCTGTCTCAAGAACCTAAAGCCAGACAAGAAGTACTCAGTGCCGGAGGGTGCCCCAGGGCCCGAGGGGGCACCAGGGAGAGAGGGCGGGGTGCCTCCCCAGAGGCGAGCCTGGACTGGGTTGAGATGAGGGCTCCGTGTCCCAAAGGCCAGGGTATGGGGGAAGCACCCGGACCTCAGGAGCAGCCAGTAGAGACGGTGACAAAGGTAGTTGGCTCTCTCTTTCAGGTGCCCAGATAGATGACAACAACCCCAGGCGTACGGGCCACCGCATCGTGGCGCCCCCTGGTGGCCGCTCCAACATCACCAGCCTCGGTTGACCGCGGACGGGCGGATGAGCTAGAGTGAAGGATTCTGGGAAATATGTCCATTCCTCCCCCGCCAGTGGTTCTCCGACCCCCAGTTTTACGTGGAGCTGCTGGGGGACACAAGAGTGAGGTTCTTTCCTTTTGCGTTTAGGAAGAAGTGGTACTAGTGTGGTATGTTTGCTTGGAACCCCCTCGCCCCAGAGTTGTGTGTCGCGCTGACGCCCGCGCCGCGCGTGGCGTCCTCCTCGCCCTCCTTAGTGAGCACAGGTCCCAGCGTCCTCGCGTCCGCCCCTCCCGCCGCCCGGCTCCGGGACCCCGGGCGGCCCCTCCGCACCCTCGTAGCTGTTCTAGGGTAGTTGATGCATGTTACTGAGTTGCGTATGCTAGCCTGTGGGGGCCCCCGACGGGCGTCGCCGAGGACCAGTGCGGGTGCAGACCCAGACCGCCGGCCCTCAGGGCAGTCCCCGCGCTCCCGCGTCGGCGCTGCAGAGAAGCCGCTCCGCCCCGCCCACATCCGTGACCTCTCAGGGCAGCTTGCAGAAATGTCCTTCGCGTCCATGTCAGAAACGCCGGTCTCCGTGGCGTGTGTCCCTGGCATGCCATCCTCCCGGCCTCCGTGTGCCCTTCCAGCCAGCTCTGGAGAGTCAGGCCGAGCCCGGGTCACACTCAGAAAGGGGTCTCTCGTCCCCAGTCAGGGCTGCCGACCGGGAGGGTGACAGCGGCTTCCAGTTGCCCGTGTCCTCGTCCCTCTGAGGAGGTGGACAGGGCAGTCAGATTTTTAAAGTTTTGTACAAAGTTTTCCTTTGTAATCACCCCCATTTTTACTTAATAACTGACTTATTGTGGCTCTTACTTCTGAATTCAAAGCTTGTGAAAGAAATAAAATGAATGGCCCGCTGGCCTGACTGGGGTGTTGTCATTTAAATCTTTAGCAAGCGTTCGGTGCCCTGAGACACACTCTGTGGGCGAAGGAAACCACGCCAACAAAGTGACACGGTTATCCACGTGAGGTCGGCGGAGGCCGAGGCAGCCACGGTAATGCCGTCACCGCCACCTTCCCACCAAATCAGACATTCCCTGCGAGGGAGCCTTCTGCCCCGGAATGCAGGGGCCAGAAAGAAAAATGGGCACCAGGTTCTGGAATCCCACAGGAAGGAAGCTTTGTCCGAGGCCGCAGAACAATGAGATGTTTTATTTTGCCACAAGGCGGGGCTGTCGGTCGGCTTTGGGAATCCTGGCTGCCGACCGGTGTCGGGAGGTCAGGGCTGGCAGATGCCTTTATTGTGGGTTATTTCTGTTAAGGAGCCAGTCTTTCCTGCCTAGGAGAGTAATTCAGGCTAAGAGAAGTAAAAATTCAGGTCCTAAATAGTCTGGAGAATCCCCGAGACAGCAGCCCCTGGTGCCTAGAGCCCACCGTGTTCAGGGAATTTGTGGAAACACCCAGCTCTCCAGCGGGATGGCCTTAGATCAGGGAGGGACAGCCCCTGGGGACATCCGGCAGTGACTGGAGGCATTTTTGGCTGTCACGGTAGGGATCTGCTGGTGTCTGGTGCGCAGGGCCCGGGGTGCTGCTACCATCCCACCGTGCACAGGACGCTCCCCTCCCCAAAGTGTCGTCTCACCCAGAATGGCCACAGTGCCGAGGCTGAGAATCCCCGTTTTTGATGAAAAGAGCAGTTTTCTTTCTGGGTGGGAAAGACCTCTCCTGGCAGTGCTCTATGTGGGCTGGTTGGAAGTTTCTGGACATTCTCACTGTCCACTGGGGCAGCGGTGCCCCCGGAACATTCCTCCATGGTAAGGGGGTGCTGTCTGGAGTTGTCTGTGTTGGGGTCGTGGGGTCGTGGGGCCGTGAGGCTCGGACCCCAGTGACCAGGCCTGAGCTGCTGGCCGAGCCCAGGATGGGCAGGGGTGGGCCCTGAAGAGTCCTGATGGCAACCGGAGGCCACGGTTCATGGGGCGGAGGACGGGGACCCAGAAAACAGCAGCAATGCCTGGAGACCCCCCGCTCCCACGGAGCTGCCCTGAGAGGACTGAGAGCCTTGCCCTGTGGAGGGCGGGTTTTGGGGGCTCCAGTGCATGGTGCTGGGAGGTGCAGACAGCCAGGAAGAGACCCCAAGGGACAGAGCTGAGAGGGCGAAGCTCCCAAGGTGTCCAGCATGGGGTGTCTGACTGTTGGCAGGTCTGCCACACTCCCTCAAGCTTTCTCAGGCACTTTGACGTCTGTTCTCTGCCCCTCATGACTAGCCCGTGATGGCAGGGAGGCCTGCCGTCTGTCCCCGGGTGGGTGGGCCTCTCACGGGGGCGGAGGGGCCTGTACACCCCGGTCAGGGCTTCTGTGCGACCCCCAGTGGAAGGCCTTCAGCTACAAGTTGCTTCTCCTCTTTAGCATCTTCTTTGAATTCTCACCGTCAGCCGCGTCACTTTCCTGCTGGCTCAGCCTTTTGCTGCGTGAAACACAGAAGAGATGCAGGCAGTCAGAACTTTGGTTCTGGGCCCATCCAGCCTCACACAGACGCACACAGTAGGTGGTCAGCATGCAGCCGCAGGCACTGAGCCCGGGCCCTTGTACCTGAGTGACGTTGAGGGGTGTTCCCCAGGCGCAGGGTCGTCGTGGCTGGGCCCCCCGAGGCCCCCTCTCTCCCGGAGCGGGGGCTTCTTCCTTTTGGTCCTCACAGGCTTCTCTGCAAAAACACAGGGACCCAGACGTTGGCCGTGACTTTAGGCAAGTGACCGCTTCTCTCAGCCACACTGCAGCCCCTCCTGACTCGAGAGTCTGTGGGCCAGGTGCACACCGGGCACCTCACTGCCATTCTACCCGTTTAACGTGTAAGGAAGCCGCGGCCCGGGAGGTGAACTGCCTTCCCGAGCTGCACAGCCGTGCGTGGCAGAGCAGGGATTCAAACTCTGGTCCTCAGGCTTCCCACAGCCGCCTGCTGACTGGACGACTCCCGAAGCGGTGGGAACCTGAGGCTCGGACTTTACTTGAAGAGACCTGTGTGTTTTACACACTTTCTGTCACTCTCCTGCAGCCATGCCCTGTGATGACACTGAGTCATCACTTCACAGACGGGGAAACAGTCAGAGATCAGACTCAGCTGGTGACCCGCAGGGGTCGGAGTTACTGAGGGGTGGGGCGCAGAGGGCCCCAGGGCGCCCTGAGGAGGCTGCTCCTGGACAGATAAGGACCCGAAAGCCCCATGAGGGGAGCAGGGTGCCCAAGGCCACACCGCCAGCCAGTGGCGGACTCGGGACTGGAAGCCCCATTCCCGGCCCAGAGAGTCCCCCACTGCAGCCCACCACCTCCTACCACGTACCCGACGGCCCGCGCTTACTGGAAGACGGTTTGCTTTCAGCGAGGGGCACACGGGCCAAGGCTGCCAGCTCGGAGAGGAAGCTCTGCTCGGCATCCTGCAGGCAAAGCGGGGGCGTCAGCCGGGCCTCCCTGGAGCTGCCACCAGGGCAAGGCTCCCTGTGTCCGGGACAGAGGAGAACTCTCCCAGTGGCCCCCAGGGCGATCAGGGCAGAGACACGTCCTGGGGTGGGGGGAGCTGACCTCAGCCAGCTCCTGCCAGGTAGTGGTCCCCCTCACCCCCAGCACAGGGGCCACGGGTGCCCATTCTACAGAGGCGAGCACCGGGGTGAGAGGCGCTCACTGCAGGCCCTGCCGGCCCTGCCGGCCCAGGCCTCAGCCACCCCATCTGACCCCAGAGTCTCAGCTCCCACCTCCCAGCCCGCTTTAACTGCACAAAGCCGGATTCCACAGCTCGCCAACTGTGCGGGCTGGACAGTGCCTTACCCTCCCAGTGTCCCCACCTGTGGCCGGGGTCCTAGCAGGGACCTGCCCCTTGGGGGCTGGGGACAACGTTAGGAGGTACAGGGACCCCTCCCAGCTCAGTGACTCCATGATAGGCCCTCAGACAGGGGCCTCCCTTGTGGGATAGGTGATCTTTCATGAAGGCAGCTGGTTTGCTTCAGAGCCGCACTTTATCAGTAAGCGCATCAGCAATCACACGCCGATGAGATTTTTCTGTGATGAGATGGCCGCTGTCCATCACAGGGACTGAGCTTCCTGTGTGTCCTACATCAAGTGTGAGCCTGGGTCCCCAGCAACCCTGAGTGACACCCTGCTGTGACATGGAGCAGCCCGTGGGGTGACGAGGTGACGATGGCCCTGCGCCCACGATCACTGGACAGGAGCCCATCAGTGTGCCCAGGGCCCGGCCTGAGAGGGAGCGCTGCAGACGCACCGAGTGGGATCCACTGGGCCCCGCGGCCTGGAGGCTCACAGCGCACAGCCAGGCTGACATGTCATCTGCTGGGGAGCCTCTGCAGGGGCCGAGGGGCCCGAGGGGGCGTGCGGTCCCCTCACCGAGGCCCCACCGCTGACCTGGGGCCACAAGGCCAGCCCCCCACCAGTTCTGCCTTTTTAGCGCACCACCTGCCAGGTCCAGGCTGGCCCCGAAGCTCCCACCTGCAGCTGGGTCTCCAGCTGCGCTTCCAGGAGGCCCAGGACGCTGGCCTTCCGCTGCCAGGCCTCCAGGCGCAGGCACTGGTGCACGGTGAACTGAGCCAGGAACTTTCTCTGCTGCGCCCGCATCCTGGAAGAGGGAAGGAAGGCCGTCAGGGCCGCCCTGGCCGGCAGCGGGGTCAGAGGCCTTCCCCAAGGGCCTGCTGTGTCCTGCAAATTAGTGATCTCAAGCTGTCCGTGAGCTCTGGGAGCCGCGAGAGAAGAATGGCCACGATTTACTGCGGCCACAGGAGAAAGGGCCTCACCCCAGCGGACCCATCAGGAAACCCATTCACTCTTAGGGGTTTACAGAATCTCAGGCACATTTTTCACTGGGTCCTCAGGGTGGCCTGGTGACAACCACAGGGCAGCAAGCAGGAGAGTCGGGGTGTCCCTGAGGTCCCACAGCTGCAAAGTGGCTGAGCAGCAGGTGGCCGCTTCACTCGAGGAAAAGGCTGAAATCCTGGGGGGGAAGGCGCTCTCCTGAAGGTCGCCCCCTTGCTGAACGTCGCAGGACTGCCCCAGCTGCTCCCTGTCCGTAGAAGAGGCAGCCCGCTTCCTGTGGACATACCCGCCCCCCCCGCAAGGCTGCCACTCCTCGGACCTTCGCAAACAGGAACATTCAGTCCCCTCCTCCCCGCTCCCAGGATTACTCTCTGCCTTCTCAGTGTTTGTGACCGAGTTTCTGAAAGGAGCTGAAGTTTTCTAGAGCTGAAGGCAGAAGCCGCCTTTAGCGTCACAGGCAGCCACCCATGAAGCACACCTTGCTTTTGCTTCATGCTTTGTCCTGCCAGTGATGTCTTTCCTCTCTTCTGTTTGTCCTGCGAACTCCTATTCATCCTACAAAACCCATCCATGCATGGATCCACTCATCTACTCTTTTGTTCATTCATAAATGGGTCTCTGGCCTGCCAGGTTCTGTGCTGGGTTTTGAAGATACAGGTGAGAGTCAGAGACTCATCACCCCGGCCTTCACAGAGGTCCACCTGGGGCTGAGACGACAGATGTGGACCAATCGGCTGTGATACTGCTGAGGTCGGTGCTCAGGGCCTCAGTTGTCCTGGAAACCCCTCATTATCGCCGGCAGTACGGGCTTTTCTCCATTGAGATACGCCACTCGGTGCCCCGCCCTGGGGGCCTCGCCCTAATCCCTGACAGCTGTGCAGCGGATGCCTTTCACGGCGGTCAGGACTGTAAGGCTCCGAGATGGCCCCGGGTTACCCAGGTGGGTCTCAGCCTTTGGAACCCATAAAACTGAGAAGTCCCTCCAGCTGGAGCTGGAGATGCAGGGGAAGAAGATGGCAGAGAGGTCCCAGGTGTGAGTGAGATGGCGGCCAGGGGAACGGGCAGGGACCAGAGAGAGGTCTCCAGGAGGCCAGGGGCCCCGCTGACGGCCACTAGGAAACAGAGACCTCCACTCCTCAAGGCACTAGACTCTGCCGACAGCCTGAGCAACCTGGGGAGATTCCTTCCCAGGCCTCTGGGAAGGGCCCAGCGGCGGACACGGTGCTGTGGCCGCCTGGAACTCGGGGACGGTGGGGTACCCTGCCACCCTGCGCGGCGTGTGGCGGACCACTGCGAAGGCAGCAGCCGGGACACCGTCTGCCTCACCTCCTGCTTTCTCGCTGAGCGTCCTGGGTCACCTCCCATGAGCAACCTGCCCCACCCCCCAGTTCCCAGGCCAGGGTCTGCTTCTGGGGGACCCCGAGGTGTGAGTGAGGGGGTGGTGCTCTGTCAGGGCAGTGGGCAGTGCTTAGAACTGGAAACGCCCCCGGGGCCACAGCCAACGGGCCCCCAGGAGGGAGGGGGCACAGGCAGGGAAGGGAGCGGGGCAGAGTCCCGGGGATCTGTCTGCGCCGGAGGGGATGCTGAGAGCGGAAGCTGACTGTCGGGGCGAGTGTGCCCTCGTGGGGACCTCACCTCTGGTGGATGCCTGGGGATGCTTCACGAGTCCCACCCGCCACCTGGTCCGCGGACGAAGGGTTGCCGAGTTCTTGCTTCTTCCGCAGCTTGTAGTTCTCCGTCCTCTCTCCTGCAACACGTAACACACGGCGATCGAGGTGTGTTTGGGGGCTCAGCTCTGTGCCAGGGCGGGGGTGGGTGCCTGGTGCAAGTGGTGGTGGGACACACCTGCTCACAGAGAGCCATCGACGCCAGCCTGTGGTCCACCGGGGGGACAGGGCGGGGTGGGGATGAAGGGGCTTCCGTCACAGGTGGCACCGGGCCACCAGCAGGCCACCTGCTGTCCCTCCACCACCCGCCGCCTTCTTGGCCCCGGGAGCCAGGGGAGGCTTGGGAGAAATATGTCATGCTAAGCAGCCACCGCAAACGGCTAAACCCACACTGGCAGGGAGGACAACCCGGCATGTAGAGCTGTGGGAGGGCTGTGGCCTCGCCAGCGGCTACGCCCAGCCAAGGAGCTGCCAACCTAACTGGCTGCCTCCGCCCCAGCCACTGCACTGCCCGGCTGCCACGGCGAACTTCCTGGCGGCGGGCTGTCCGGCAGGCTGCCTGCCTCACTGGGCCTGGGCTGCGTAGACCTTAAAGGCGGTGTAACTGGGTGACCCCCTGGGGTAGGACATTCTGTGAGTTTTCAATACAGAAGAATTTATGGAATGAAAAAAAAGACAAGGTGTTAATGTGGTTGGTTACACTGGGCTACATTGTTTCAGCTCATTTGCTGGGTGACCCCCACATCAGAGCTGGGGTATCAGGGAAGTAGGCACTCAGAGCCGAGAGAATGCACAGGGGGCGGACCGAACCCTAGCACCGCAGACGGGAAAACTGAGGCCTCAGAAGGGGACTTGAGTATGCTGGTCCCGAAGGGCCCCATCCTGGCTGTCTCTGGCTGGGCAAGGAGATCAGCCGCCCTGTTGGAAACCAGGATGCAGGTCTGCGGAGCTGGGGTATTTCTGGGTACGTCCCACGAGTCGTAAGAATCCAGGGTTCAAATTCCCCGGGACGAGGGGAGGACAGAGGCATAGCTGAGCTCACTTACAGGAGATGTCACCAAAGACCCCTGCCAGGACCTGCCGACGGGACCTGCCACCCACCCACCTGCCCGTCCACCTAGGGACCAGGTCCCACTGCGCCCCACGGTCAGTCCAGGCGCAGCCCTTCCGAGAACCTGGGTGGACCCTGCTCCAAGGGCCTGATGCAGGGAAGGGCGTTGTAAGTGTGGCCTTTGAGAAACTGACTCTGTCGTTACACGATGTCCTTGCTGGCCGTGGAGACATTGTTCCGTCACGCAGGGTAACCACCACGTACGAGAGCCCATGGGGAAAATCCTCTGGGTTTTGGGGACATCACAGAGCCACTGGCCAGTTCTTTCTCACGGTCACTGCAATGGCTCTCACTGAGGACCTTCCCACTGCTCTGGCCGCCAGGAAGCCCAGAGCTAAAACCATGTCACCACTAAGTAGGGCTCTGCGGACATTCCTCCCAGAGAGTGAGTGACCCTACCCTGACTCCACCTTGTCCGGGGCTTGTCCTGATTCGCCCGCATTAACAAGCCCTATTGTGCTGTTCCCAGCCGCTCCTGAAGTGCCTTTTCGAAAGCCATTGAGGGGCAAAGCAGGGATTGAACGAGCAGATGGAACCGGGACAATGTAAGATTTCCAACAACACTGGCAGCCCATTCGGTCCCAGACTCTGAGGGTGTCTGGTTCCCGACCACGGCCTCCCTGCGGGGGGCACGTACCCTGCAGGGCCCTCAGCTGCTCCAGTTTGCGCTCCTCGTGGTCCCGCACGACCCTGTGCACTTGCTGGTAGTAGGGCTGCAGCAGCCGCCCGACGCCTGCGCTGGTCACGTAGACGCTCTCCACAGCCGCCTCCAGCAGCGTCCTCTGTGGGCGGGAGGGAAAGAACGCGGCCTGGGCTGGCGTGCGGTGCATCCCCCTTGCCCGGGCTGGCATCTTGGACCCAGTCCCCACCTGGACTGGTCTGGGAGCAGGCAGAGAGCGTGTGGTTGCATTAAACCCGTTGGTAAGACAGGGTGGGGCAGAAGTGGGCTTACAGTTCCTCGCACAGGAAATAATAACACAAGGATAAACTCTGTGTTTGGTGTGCTCACGGCTGTAAACCTGCTGTCCCCCCGCCCTGTCCTACTTTTCTTGGTCAGGGACAGTCTCAGGCTGGGTGTGTGACCCTGGCCAATCAGATGCAATGTTAGGAAAAGACTGCTGGGGGTGGAGAGGCTTCCCTTCCCGGATGTCAAGGTAAAGCCTCAGTGCGAGTGAAAGACTTTGTCATGTTCCTCCTTCCTTCTGGAATGCAGATCTGATGTCTGGAGTGTTAGTAGCCATTTTGAGACTATGAGGCCATGCACTAGCCCTCAGAACAGCAGATGAGACAGAAAGAGCCGGGTGCTTGGTCACATCACAGCGCCTCTGTGCCTGGAGCTCCCTACCTGCACATTCTCGTTATGTGGGATGCATGACTCCTACTCATTTGAGTCATTTCAGTAGGACTTTCTGCTACTTGCAGTTAGATGCATTCCTCAACGATATACCTTGCGCCCCAAAGCAGAAAGAGAGGAAGTACTGAGATGCCCTGTCCCTGGAGATGTGGGGCCTGGGTTATCCTCCCTGCCAAGGTTAAAGGCTACTGTCCTTCACTTTGTAAAAATGACAGGCAACCCCTGAAAGGCTAGAAGCCCCCGGGAGGGTGTGGCGCCGACCGGCGGCCAGGTGGCTGCTCTGTCCAAGTCATCTTATCCGTCCCCGCCCACCCCAACCCTCCTGCCCTCTGGTTTCTGGGGATGGGGGTCAGCACGCACCTTGAAGTCCTCCCGGTCCTTGGCCCGGCTCTTGGTGGCCGCGGTCCGCGCGTGGCCCAGCAGCGCCTGCCCGATGGCACGCTCCATGCGCTGCTGCAGGAGCCGCCCCACCTCCTGGGCCTCGGCCAGGAGCTGCTGCTGAAGCTGCAGCCGCGTCTGCTGCGCCTCCTCCTCCAGCCTGCTGGTCTCCTCCAGCACACGCGCCTCCTGGACAGGGAAGGACGGGGTGGGTAGAGGGACGAGCCCATACTGCTGCCTGGCGCAGGAGCTCCGGCTGGGATGGGGCTGTGGGGCCCGCCCTGCCCAGGGCCCAGGAAGGTTGGGCCAGAGAAGCAGAAGGGGCGGAAAGCCGGGGCCTCCAGGCTTGCAAAGCCCAACACGGTGGATGAGCCGGGTGTGTGTGGAAGGTACCCCCTCAACCAAAGACGTTTACTGAGTCCCAACTGTGTGCCCAGTGCCACGCGTAGCCTGTCACACATCAAGGACTTCCTCATTCTTCCTGACCCCCGTGGGGCCTGAGCACTAGGTGTGATGAGGGCACAGGGGCTCAGAGATGTGAAGTAACTTCCCAAAAGTCACACAGCAGAGCTGGGTTTTGAGTGACTGGGAACATCACAGAAGCCAAAGCAGGGCCTGTGGGGCCCCGGGCACTGCCTTTCCTCACGTGACTGTGATTCAGGCAAGGAGGGGCCGCCTGCTTCCCCCCAGCTCTCCTGGCCGAGCGAGACAGAGCGCCAGTCTGCCCCGCACTCACGGGCCAGAAATCCCGGCTGCCCCCCCTAGCTCCGTGGGTTCCTGAGACCTGGAGTCAGCCTGCTGGGGTTTAAGCTCAGCCCTGTGATTCACAGGGTCTTTCTCCGGATCTGTTAGAACAGATGACAAGACCCCCTTTCCCCCAGCCTCCGGGTGACATCTGTACCTAGCTCTGCTCCGGGGTCATACGCATTTTCAGCACAATTCTCACTATAGCACACACCAGAGCCCCACAGGGCTGCCACAGTCCCCTCCCCGTCACGACAGGGGTGGCAGGACCCGGGTTCTGCCGGACGGGTGCAGGGGCCCGATGCGCGCTCACCAAGGCTCTGAGCAGCTGCCACTGGTGCTCGTCCAGGCACTGGGAGGAGCCCTGCTCCAGGGCGTGCTGCTCCCGCAGCTCCTGCAGAAGGCTCTTCTTCCCCGACAGCCGCATCTGGGTCAGGGTGGCCACGGCGTGGCCGCGGAGCGCCAGCCTCCGCAGGGCTGAGCGCAGCAGCAGGTCGTGCCCCTGCAGGAGCCACCGTGCGGACCTTGGGGAGAGTGGGCGGGGGTAGGGGTCAGGGCCCTGGGCTCCTCTGAGTGGGGTGGTCAGTTTCCTGTGTGCCCACAGATCGACCCGACATTATTCGGGGTGTTCCTGTGAGGGTGTCTTTGGGTGACAGCCATAATTAAATGGGTAACCTGAGAAAGCAGAGAGCCCTTCCTGGAATGGGTGGGCTTTGTCCGGTCAGCGGACACCTGAAGCAGAGAGAAGGCTGGCCCTCCCCCAGACAAGAGGGAACGTATCCCATCCACCTTGAGCTGGGGCAGCACCATTTTCCTGCCTTGGGGCTCAGACAGAGAGATTGGCTCTTCCTGGGTCTTAAGCCTGCTGGCCTCCTGACCGGGCCGGATGCCCCCAGCTCACTCCATGCTCAGACCTGCAGACTTTGTACCGGAACTACGCTCCAGCTGTGCCGAGTCTCCACGTGGCCAACTGCAGGTATTGCCACCTCTTGGCTCCTCCCTCCCTCCTTTCTGTCTCTATAGGTACAGATACAGCGATAGATAGATACTTAGATAGATACATACATTCATAGGTGCATTCATAGATACACAGGTAGATACACAGATTATGGACATACACACACACATACATACACACACACACATGCATCTGATTGGTTCTGTTTCTCTGCAGAGCCCCCGCACACTGAGCTGCCCGGAAATGCCCAAACGGTCACAGCGGCAGAGACCCTCCCAGAGTGGCTGGGGTGGGACTGTCCCACCTCCGGCGGCCCGCCCTCTCAGACCCTGGTGCACACCGGGTTTCGGTTAGCCACCTGTTCCTCTATTGATCTTTTTTAATGTGCTCACACCCTGTCCCACGTTTCAGACGCGTGTGCGCTGCCTTCAGCACATGCCCACGTGAGTGTCTCAGGTAACACTCAACACTGACACATCCCAAACTGAAACTAGAGGCTGTGACCGAGCTCCTGTCTTAACGACTCAACTAGAAGACCTTGGTGAACCAGAGAGGCCCAACCTGTGCTTTTATAAACAGAGGTCCTTGCTAGTACCTGAGAAGCGGACCAGAGTGTGGCAGCCAGCCCACGGAGGCAGAAAAGTGCAGCAAACACTCCCTGCTTTCACCTGGGGGCCCTCGTCCCAAGAACAAGGAACCATTCTGCAACAGAGGCCGGCTTTTCAACCAGCTGAATTCGCAGATGGAGCGAGCGCTTGACCTGCCTCTACCTGTAGCCCCTGCTAGAAGCGAGATACGTCCTCTCTGAAGGAAAGCCCTGTTATTTAAAATCTTAAATTATCTCAACAGTTTTCAGTCACTGTGCCCAGTAGTCAATAAATGTAACCAGACTTGCAAACAGCTAAGAACTGGCCAAAAATAAAGAGAAAACACAGATACTACAAACATACCCACCATGTTGGATACTGAACTAGCCAGATGTGGACTTGAAAATAGCTATGATAGATAAGTTTAAGAGAGCAAATGAGATGAGCAATTACAGCAGATAACTGAAAACTTTGAAAAGAATCAAATGGAAATCTTGGGACTGAAAACACAGTCACCGACTATAAGAACTCCGTGGGTGGACTTACGGAGGATGAGACACAGCGGGAGAGTGTGTGAACCGGAAGGTAGTCCCATATGAGTACCCAGACCTAACCCCAGAGAATAAAAGAATGGAAATAAAGAACAGTATGTAAGAGACACATGGGACAAGAGAAAAGTCCCAATAAATGTGTAACTGGATCCCAGAAAGAGGGGGGAGAGAATGGGCAGGAGAAATATTTAAAGAGATAACGGCTGAGAATTCTCAAAATCCGATGGAAGACAGCAAATCACAGATCCAAGAAGCACAACGAATTTGTCAAACAAACAAAATACAGACACAGAACCACATACACATTTAGGAGGATTATAATAAACTAATGAAAACCAAAGAGCAAAAGGAAATTTAAAAAGGAGCCAGAAACAACTGGAATCAGCAGACAACACTGTGTCTCTATTTAAAAACCCACCCGGGGTCCGTCCACACGATGGCAGGCTACGCAGCAGAAAGAAAGAAGGAGCTCCTACCCTTTATGACAATGTGGGCGGAAACAGGGACTGTTATGGGTGAAATAAGCCAGGCGGTGAAAGACAAATACCATGTGATCCCACCTGTAAGTGGAACCTGATGCACAAAACAAACTTATGAGCAAACTAGAGCCAGAGGCGTGGGAACATGGGACAGAATGACAGCTGTGAGGGGGACCGGGGAGGTGGGCACCCACTGAAGAAAGTGGATGGGATTACTCGGAGAACGTGCATGGAAGACCCATGGACTCGGGCAACACGAAGGGACTGATTGTGGGAGTGGGGGGCAGGCTGGGTGGAGGGGGGTGAAACACAGAGCACCTGTAACAGCACAAACAACACAATACATTAAAAAGCACCTTAAATAACAAGAAAGCTACGATTCCATACCCAGTGAGAACATTCCCCCCAAACAAGGAGGAGACAGGTATTTCCAGAAAAACACTGGGAGAAGCTGTCCCCAGCAGATGTGAAGTCACAGGAAGGCCAGGTGAGGGAAGACCGTCCCAGGCGGAGGCTTATGGGTACAGGGAAAAGTCAAGAGCAACAGAAGGGGTAAATCTGTGAGTAAATCTACATGAACAGGGACGGCATAAAGCAATAACATCTAAGGGGGTTGAAAATATAGAGGAAAAATACTCAATGAGAAAGGGTTAATCTGAGGAACAATAAATGGAATTAGGTGAAGTCTAAGGCAGAAGGAATACAGTCATGCATGTTAGGTTTTGAGAAGTCAAGGATGCAATAAAAAATTTCTGAACCGCCGAAAGCACAGGAAAAGAACATGGAACTAACAAGTCCAACGGGAGATAAAACAGAATAATAAAGACACTTAATGGGAAAGAAGGCGAGAGGAGGGAGCAGAGGGCGGGGAGGAGGATGTGAAACAAGCAGTAAGAAGGCGGATCTGACCGCCAAGCACGTTACAGGGGCCGTGCACCGAACACCAGCGGACTGAATGCTGGCCCAGCCCAGGGACACAGGTTCCCGGGGGCGGCCCCGCTGCACTGTCCCGGCGTGGCCGCCAGGTGTTGGCGCCGCAGCCCAGTCTCCTTTGCCACACCTGCCTCTTTCCCAGCCCACCGATCGGCTCCCCAGGAAAGGCTGGGCACCTGCAGAAACGGTTCTATCCAGACCATTTTCCTCATGTGATATGAAATAAGGAAAAAAAAATTTTAGCAGTTTGAAAAACCCCACTACGCTCATCGTCAGAGCAAAAACATGAGTGACCGGAAATGGGCACATGGGGTGTTTTGGGTGTGATGAAAGTGTTCTGAGTTTGGGTCGTGGCCCGGTGCAGGACTCTTAAGTTACTGAGAACCACCGAACAGCACACGTGAAGTAACGCATGGAAATACTCTGCGGAAAGGTGTTTACGGAGCGCCCGTGGAGGACAGCTCTCGGAAGCACATGCCACGAGCCCCTGTCACTGAGGAGGGCGTGGAAGGAGGGAAATGAGAAGTACTTCCCCGCAGCACCCAGCCCTCACCCTCCCCACGCTGCACAGGGCGGGGTGGGAGTGGCTTCACGGTCGTTTGGACAGACAGTGAAGCAACAATTAACAAGTAACACTGTGCTCTGCTTTGTGCATTCAGCCCCCCCCCCCCCCCGCCCCGGCCTTTACGGTTTGGTTGGTTTCAAAACCAGCCCGGAAGAGGCAGGGGCAGTCCATGTGTCCAATCCCCTTGCAGATGAGGACACTGGGGCTGGCACAGAGTGTCACGCAATGTCACACAAGGCCCCAACCCTCCTGAGAGCAGTACTCACTCGTCGCTGAGGCCCCCCAGCCGGTCCAGCACGTGGCGGGTGACGCTGTCCTGCTCGTCCTGCAAGTGGGTCTGCAGCGCAGCGGCCAGGCCCTGCTCCTCCATCCACACCTGGGCCCAGATAGGGGGACGGGTCAGCTCAGCGGCCTCCTCCGTCCATTGCCGCTTTGTGGTCACGTGCCTTTAATTCTCGTCTAAAATCCTTCTCCCCTGGTGGCATTAACGTTTTCCCTTATATTTTCTCCCAAAGACTTAAAATGTTTCCCACTTGCGTTTACCTGGTAAAGCACTCCATACCGATTTTCTGCGGCGTGAGGAAGGGATCTGAGTTTCTGTGGACACGTGGACACTCACTGTGCCTGCACCTCCTAGAGTTTATCTCTCTATGACCTGCCGCCGTGTACCACATAGTTTCCACATGCACAGTTTCCACGTGCACACACACCTCGGTCTGAGCTCCGACCTTCATTTGTGGGTCGTTGGTTTCTGCCCCACGCCTCACTGCGTGCCGGCTGTCACTTGCAGTGACGTTTCACAGCGGCTTGGGCAAGGTCCCCCGGCCCCCCTCGTGGACTTATACAACACAATCTGAGCTATTCTTGGCTGTTCTTCTTTCATATGGGTTTTAGGATCAGTTTCTCAAGTTTTGGGAAACAGCTTGTTTTGGGGATTGCCTTCTAATCTGATCGGATCACGCTGGTTAGCTTGGAGACAAGCACCGTCTCGGCCAACTTGAGTTTGGCAGTAGCAATACACTCAGTGTTTTCTCCATCGACACGCCCCAGTGAGAGCCCACCGGGAGCCCACCAGCGAGCGGCTGGACAAATCGGGAATTAAAAAGTCAGTCCTTCCTTCCACGACACAGGAGGAGAAGCACAATTCCGACCCCTCTCTGCCGCCTGTGACACTGCTCGCTGCCCCTTCGGATCGACCCTGGTCCCGGAAGTCCTCGTGTGAGGGCACCGGCGTTCCTTTGGTCACTGTGGTTTTTACTGCTCCTTGTTCCCTTGGTCTCCTTTGCCGCTGTGAGAGTTGCATGATGTTTCTATCCCTTTGAAACTTTAAACAGACATTCCTGACCCCACAGCACCTAAAGTTAGTCAGCATTCCCTTCACCCTACGATTCGTACCTGTCAGTAATTCTGAAAACTTCCTATCCATTATTACTTTCTTTTAAAAATTCATCATTTATCTATCCCCTCGAAACTCTTCTTCATGGGCCGAGAAAAATCCACACACCTGCATTTCCTCACAAGGCAAACAGATACGGGTAGAAACCAGAAGTGGTGCAGAGCGTGGTGTTGGCCTAAAATAACTTAAGCTCCTAACCAGAGAGTTTTCGATGAATCATAGGTGTTTGCCTAATGATTTATTGGAAGTGAAATCCCGATATTTTCAATGTCAATGTCATCAAGTGGCTGAGCACTGTGCGAAAGGCTTTAACTTGATCCTTTTTTTTTTTTTTCCATGAAGGAGCCTTGGTTCTGAGACAGTTAATGAGGGTGTGCAGAACGGAAGCTGTTAAAGGTCAGGTGACGGGCTAAGGCCACCCACCCCATGAAGGGAGTTGCCGTGGCTCAGACCCAGGGCTCAGCTTCCAAGGTTAGGGGCCTGTCCGCAAACCGCAGCTGCCTGTAAAGAGCCCCTGGCAATGACCTTGGCCCACGCGGATGATCCAGAATAAGCTCCAAATCCCAGGTCCTTAATCACATCTGCACAGACCCCTGTGCCCTGTGCCCGTAACGTGTTCCGGGTCTGGGACAAGCACGGGGACCTCTCTGCGGCCCGTTATTCTACCTGGCGCGGACGTGTGTGTTTTCTTAAAGCCTCCCCCGAGGACACGTGTACTGGTTTGAGAAAGAGGGAGAGGGAGGGAGCAACACTAACGTGAGAGAAATGTCAGCTGGTTACCTCCCGTACGTGCCGTGACCGGGGATCAAACCCACAGCCTAGGTATGTGCCCTGACTGACCAGGGATCGAGCCTGCAACCCTCTGGTGTAAGGACCGTGGTCCCAGCCACTGAGCCACCGGCCGGGGCCACATCCGTGGTGTTCATGGTGGAAAGAGACTCGCTGTGAAACAGGAGCCCCATGTGGGCAGCCCCTCATCTCCGCCCCCATCCACTGCCCTGTGAAACACCTTCTGTAGTTTCTTTTGCTGGTCTTTCTCAGTGGATCAGCTGAAGGCACTACCTACCGATCCCCACCCTGGGGAAGCTTCGCCGTGCCCCCGGCCCACTCGGAGGGCTCTGGTGCAGGGCTGGCAACCGGAGCCTCGGTAAAGCGCCGAGCAAAGGCACTGGGAGGTGCTCGGTGAACGGAACCTCTCATCATCCCTCCTAAGTCTCAAAACCCAGTCTCTGCCCCTGTTTTGCAAACCACCCGCACCTGCTTCTCCTGCTCCAGGAGCTCTTGGAACAGTTTCCACTGCTGTTTCCGGAAGCGGTCCGACTCCCCCAGCTGCAGGGCGGTGTTCTCCTGCGCCTGCCGCCTCAGGCGTCCGCTCTGGTCCCAGGAGAGGCCGGTCACGCCTGGGAGCGTCTGCAGGAACAGGGTGTCCACGAATGCCTGGAGTGCTTCCACGGTGCTGCGGAACAGCTCCTGAACCCGAGAGAGCCACGCGACAGAGTTACACGTCAAACCCACCGGGGTGCAGAGGGTGGCGCAACAAGACATGGGCTTCATAGCATCAACGTGCCTACGCTCAGGAAGGCCGGCTACTCTTAAACCTTAAAGCAAAGAGCTGGAAATTGGAAAAAGCAGCACTGCTTCATTTGAAAAGAACTAAGCAGACTTTTTAGAACTGAAGAACACGGTCCAATTTTATGGACACAATGTACAGGTTTACTGGCGGCTGGCCGCAGCTGAAGACAGTACGTAGGAAGACAGACCAGGGGAGAGGCTAAGGCTGGAAACCATGGAGAAGAATCAGGCACACAAGATGCAGTGAGAAAATCCAGTATTTTTTAAAGATATTTTTATTTACTTATCTTTAGAGGGAAAGGGAAGGAGAGAAGGAGAGAAACATCAATGTATGGTTGCCTCTCATGCATCCCCTACTGGAAACCTGGCCCACACCCCAGGCATGTGCCCTGAGTGGGGATCGAACTGGCAACCCTTTGGTTTGCAGGCCAGTATTCAAACCACTGAGCCACACCAGCCAGGGCAGTACATCCAACATTTCTAATTGGAGTCCCCAGCAGAGAGAAGAGAAAACTTAGGTAGAAGCAATATTTGAAGTGATAATGGCTTAGCAATTTGCCAAAACTGATGAAAGAAATTTATAGGCGAGAGACGGGGGCATCCCCTGTCCGGTAAGAGGAGGTTCAGCGAATTGCATCAGTTCCCCTGGGAGGCCCCGGCGCCCAGGCCCAGCCCCTGATTTCACAGCCCCTGTGCTCTCCCGTACATTTATTTTGAAGACAAATGAATGAGCCTGTCACCTGAACCTAGTAAACGTGGGGTTGCTTTTTGCTACATTCATAGTAGATGAAACGGTCTTTAAGGAAAAAAGCGTGACTAGAAATAAAGACTGTTAGTCTGTAAGACTAACAGGCAAACTCGCAGGAAGCCGTCAACGTGGAAGTGCGTTTGCACTCCCAGGCGTGGCCCAGATCGAGGCAATGGGCCCATTGACGGGACAGAGCGGGAAGCATCGTGATGATTGTGACTGGAGGAGGAAACACCATTTTACACCATTTAATTTTTGTGCATAAGAAACACTCTGAGCAAAACATAAATGGAAGGAGACTTGGAGGGAGACTTCCTTCATCTGAAAAACACCTCCAAAACTATAGTAAACATTATACCTACAGGTGGAAATAATAAAACAATATTAATAAAAGACTTAAGTGTACGGGTCTGCCACGTTTCTGGATTGGAAGACTGGTGTAAAGATGTTAATTCTCTCACCAAAGTATCTACACATTACACATGCTAATCGAACTGGTGGCTACTTTGGTAACTGTGCAGACTGTGAGTTGAACCTACTTATATTCTTTGACCTAACAATTCCGCTCCTTAGTCTCTGCCCAAGACAGAGGAGTGCACAAGTGTATCAGATGGCATCTACGTTCGTGTCCGTGGAAAGTGTCAAGAGTCTAAACCGAGAAGCCCCACAGGCATCCATCGGCAGCGGAATGGATGACTGGTGCTGTGTTCACACCAGGGACGGATACAGACCAGAGGGGAAGAATGACTCTCCGGAGCAGCGAGAGGAGCCAAGGACACCTGCCCCACAAGAGCAGGTGCCACTGGATTCCATTTGCACAAAAGCAAGGGACTGGTTTAAGGAGCCAGGATCTGGCTCCTGGGAGCAGGAGGGGTACGGGATTAGGAGGGGGTGCAGGGGGGGCTCCTGGCCACGTCCCTCCCTTCGTCTGGGTGACAGTTCCCTGGACGGAGCTTTAATGATCGTTGGTCCGTCCGTGGGGTGTGCACTCTCTACTCTTTGTGTGTGTACAGTTGACAACAAAAAATGGGTTAAATGCAGGGGACTGACTTATGTCCCCCCTCCAGCCTCTGCAGGCCCCAGTTTCCTGCCAGGAGACAGGTGTGTAAAATTGATTCTCCCGCCTGGGACTCGATCGTTCCTTAGCGATCATTCCCTTTTCCTTCACGACTGTCAAACCACAGAAACATGCTGTTTGCAAATTCAGGAAAGGTTAACTTGGCAAAAGCCACGTGGTCCACGAACCTAGGCCACTTCTAATAAAAAAGGGTCCCCGCAGGGTCCCGTATGCCTCCTGGAAAGAGCCACCTCTGCAGTCCCTGTGACAGGCTCTGACAGGCCATGAAACACCCCAAGTGGCGCTTAATGCTGCCACGTTTCATTTGGGAGATGCTGATTTATTCTGTGCCTGAAATAGAAGCAGAATTCATGAATGGCACTTCTCTCCCAGTGTGCGCAGGTCAGGGCGGTCGGGGCGGGGGCCCTGGTGGGGACGGAGGCCAGCGCAGGCCTGGGTCCCACTTGGTCTCTCACACAGGGGCCCAGAGGACCCAGGCCGAGGCAAAGCTTAACCCCACCTCTGTGACCCCCTGGGGTTCTGCCCCCACGGCCTGACCTCGGGGGTCGAGTGCCCACCCCAGGCTTCTCACGGAGAAATGACTCAGGCCAGGAAGGGGCACACGTCTGCCCGGGACAAGGGGTCTTGCTGTCTTATCTGTGAGCAGCATCTGTTTGAGGGCCGATCTCTGTGTTCTGCCGTGAATAATGCGCACTTTTGGGCCCAAGTTTTTGAGGGGAAAACAAGGATGCTCATTATTCATAGGTAGCACTAATTCTGTATACATGTTTTTAGTTCTTTTATTCATGCTTATGCATCAAAAGTGTACCTCTAGAAAGCAATAATGATGTCCGTACGCAAAATAATACCTTGGGATACGATCAGTGGTTTTGTCTCTAAATTGAAATAAATAAAAAATTGAATTAAAAATTAAAATGACTCTTTTCCTGAAAGTTTGGGCCCGAAGTATGGACGTGAGTTAGGTGTGGGAGTGCATCAAACGGCGAAACACGCCGAGTAGTGGTGAGAGACAGCACGGAGCAGAGCCCGCTGCCCCCTGCCCCCCGCCACCAGTCACAGCCTTTGCCGCAGGACTTTGCCCGGGAGGACCTTCCTGGCCCTGAACGTTGGGTCCGGTCACGTGACCCGTGTTGGCCAATAAAGCGAGGCGGGCGTGGAGTGAGCCAGGGTGCAGGCTAGCCCTCCACTGGGCTGGGGGAGGAACCCGCCAGGCTAGCCCGGGGGCCCGAGTGGAAATCAGAGGGCGGAGCGTGCTGTGCTCCTTGGGCCCAGCCTGGGTCCCCGCCCTCTGGCCAGCACACCGGACTGAGAGGGCACATTCCTGTCGCTTCACGTGGCCATGGTTACGGGCCACACCCCCAGACAGCAGGGGCCCTTTGCCGCTGTGGGTAGAGGTGTTTTACCCTCGCAGCCGTCATCGATTGTCCCTGCAGGTGTCTCCACTGCACTGCCTGTGGGCTCTGTGCCAGAGGCAGGGCAGGGGACAGGCGTAGTGGACCCTGACCTTTGGGGGTGCACAGCCGGGGGGCAGGTGTTGCTAGGACAAGTGTGGTGGTGGGGAGGGGTAGGGACAGACCAGGGAATCTAACTGGTCTGACGAGGGGTCAAGAAGGGCCCTCTGAAGAAATGACTCGTAACTGGGACCAGGATGAGGATAAGCAAACCTGGGGAATGGAGGGAATGGTGTCTCAGGCCGGGGAACAGCAAATGCAAAGGCACTGGGGTAGGAGGCTCCAGGGCACCTTTGGGGAACTGACGCATATCTGAGGTTGGCTGGCAGGAAGCCAGCAAAGGGCACGAATCCAGACAGGCCATGGGTGGGCTGGCTCATGGAGGCCTTGTGAGCTCCGTCGGGAGGGCTGCTTAGGGCCCAGGCTAACTGGTCCCAGGGCTCAAGGCTGACTGGGTGGGTCTTCATAGACCAGATGGCGGGTCGCCATGGGCCAGGTCAAGGGTGTTAGGCTTCATCCCGAGGGCTGAGAGTGGCATTTTTGGGTGTTAAGGGGTTTCTTTATTACAATCAGTCTGTAGGGAAGGCAGCTAAGAATTCCTAGATCAGAGAGGTTAAGTGACAAGGACAGGGCCACACAGCTGGGACACAGCCAGATGGGGCCCACACTCGGTCCGTCTGCGCCCTGAGTGACCCTTCCTTCCTTGGCACTTGGGCCCCTCTTTGCAGGGAAGCGAGCTGCTTGGGAAATTACCAAGAGGAAGGAGGGGGTGTAATTGGGCAGCAGGTAGCACTGTGAGGCTCCAGCAAGTTTTACCTCTGCAAATAAAGACAACACGACCTCCTCACCCCAGCAGCTTTACTGGGGGGAGCGCAGAGCCATGCAACCTTCCATGGTTGAAGAGCTTTTGCAGATGTGAGCAAGCTAAGGGCTCTGGGACGGGAAGGTGAGCCTGGGGCGCCCAGGTGACTGCAATGCAATCACAGGCTCCGTGTAAGTGAAAGAGGGAGGCGGGGCGTCCGATGGAGAGCAGGTGGGATGATGGGACCCGAGGCAGGAGCACAAACTCTCTGGCTTTGAGTCAGAGGGGGGGCCACGAGCCGAGGAATGGGGGCAGCCCCAGAAGCTAGAGAAGCCAAGGAAACGGAGTCTCCGTTGGAGCCCACAGTGGGAGCACGGCCCTGCTGGCGCCCTCCTTTTAGCCCAGGGACACCCGCTTTGGCCTCCTGACCTCCGGAGCTGGAAGGTAATAACTTCGTGTAGTTGTAGCCACGGAGTTTGTGTTACTTTGTTGCGGCAGCTGCAGGAAACTCAGAGACCACCCTGGGAATGCCAACAGCTTAGTGGGTTCACTCCCTCCTTGATTTACTCATTCATTCATTCATTCATTCATTCATGCGTTTGGACTGATCGCCCCTCCTGTGTCACCCCTGGGCTCGCCACTGGGGAGCCCAGCTGCGCCCTCACGGGGGGCTGCACGTTCCTCTGCTTTCCCTTGCTCCCCAGTACTTCACTCTCCCTACTCGAATGTCGGGAGCCCTAGGTCTGAATCTGGGCTCCCCAGCTGCATGACCTTGAACAAAACACCTTTAACTGCTCACTGCTGTGCACCAAAGAAGTGACCCTGTTGAGAGAGAAGCCTGACCTTTACCCTGGTTCCTGGAAGGTGACCTCTAAATTATTGGAATGTCCTCCCTGATAAGAGAGTCTTTGGTTGGTGGGGATCTCGGGCCCCGTCCGATGGTCTATGATGATGATGGCATCAGGGTGGGCCTTGGCCATGAGGTATCAGTTGACCTGCAGGGGGCTAGAGATTAAGGCCACCCACGGGGTTGGTCGAGCACGACCGTGGACCCGAGCCTGGGCCAACACCGTGGACACCAAGGCGCGAGGGAGCTTCCTTGGTTGGCGCTGGGCAGTGTATCAAGTCACATGTCATTGTCAGGAGCTCAGGGCTGCCCAGGCCTCCGCTGGGACAGGACCCTGGAAGCTTCGAGTTGGGAACTCCAGGCTCCGCCCCACAGGCCCTGTCTCTGGCAGACTTGAATCTGTACCTCCTGCTGCCGTAACACGTGACTGCGAGCAGAACAGCCGCCCGCACATGTCTGTTAGAAAATTCGAGAGCCAGAGGGTGGTCTCGGAGCACCTGAACTTGGCTTTGGGTTCAGAGGTGAGGGATGTTGTGGAGCCTACCTTTGAACCCCTCATCAGGCCTATTACTCCTGCTTTCGCTGAGACCGGAGTCTTATCTTCTCTTCCTTCCCTCACCCTGACTCCTCGTGAGAGCCGAGGGCGCAGAAGCCCCGAGCGTGGTGGGTCTCTCACTTCACCAGCCCCCCTGGGAGCCTTTCGAGAGACAGAACACAAGCAGGGGGGTCGGGAATGAACCCCTGGTGAGCGAGCAGGTCTGCGTGGCCCTCACCCCTGCATCTGTCCTCGCAGGGCCCCTCTGGCCGGGGCTCAGAAATCCCCGCACACAGCACCAAGACCTGTCATTTAGTGGCATCTGTCTCCGTCACGCTGAGACTCTGCTGTTTGTTTAAAGGTCAAGACACAGTGGGAGTTTAGGAAAGTGCACTTTCTCGGCAGCCTGAGAACCGGCAGGTGGCCATCAAACCCACCTCCCAGCCACTGTGCCCACCATAGCACGACAGGAGCCTGGCCCGAAGAAAGGGGGGAATTTCGCCTGTGGACTGGGTCTGGGAAAGGGCCCGCCAGACTGCAGGGCGAGCTCCCTCCTGAGCACATCCTGGGCGTGCAGACAACCCTGTGCACACCCTTCCACCCTGTGCACACACACACACCTCTGTGCACGCACATCCCCTGTGCACACATGCCCTCCTACGCAGTGATGCACTAATAGTCACGACACGTTTTGAAAGCTTGAAGAAAGCTCATTATCCCCACTTTACCAGAGGAGACTGAGACACTGACCATGAAAACGGACCCTGGCCCCAGGCCTTCTCACTGCCCCTGCCTGCACCACCCCAGCCAGGGCCCCATTGACTCAGCCCTGGACCACTGGGAGGCCTCCCCAGTCTCCCTGCTCCCAGCTCCGCCCCCTGCAGGCCATTATGTGCACAACCCTTGGAAAACACAGGGCCAGCCTCTCAGGGGCTTTGGAGCCCAGATGGGGAGGCTGTGAGGTTCTCGCACACACTCAGATCCGGAGGGCTGTGGGCTGGCCCACGGGGAGGCCACGTACCTGGCAGAGCGCAGCCATGGCCTCGGCGGTTCTGAAGTCGTCCTCTCCCTCCAGGTCACTGCGTGTCACCCGCTGCCGCTCCAGGACCTCTTGGAAAGCCTGTGAGTGAAAACAGGGGCTGAACTGGATAGCAAAATGCAGAACTTTTCCCCCTAGAATATCTCCCTGCCTGGCCCCTGCCTCTCAGATCTAAAGGGGCATGCTCAGGAAAGTGAGGCCGGGGCCAGGCCCCGGGAGTCTGGTCTCCAGGGCTCACCGGCTGTGTGCTTGTCCAGCCCCAGGTGGGGGGTGCTGCCTGGCCACCCCATGACTACTCTCTCCTGGACGCAGCATTCTCTGACTCCTGCTGCTGGGACCACTGCACAGGCCCCGGGTGGCCCACCCAGCGGGGCCCTTATCACCGGCTTACAGACCAGGAAGCTAGGGAGGCAGGGCTCGGAGAACCCAGCCAAGGTCATGGGCCGACCACGGGAAGCCAAGAATTGACCTCCCATCCGCTGGATGCCCAAGCTTCTGGCTTCCCGTGCACGGTGACAGCGACTAAGCCACACCACGGTCGGCCTGCATGGCCACTCCTGGGACAAATGTGCCCGCAGATGTGGTGGCTGAGTCAGGAGCGGTCACCTGCAGGAGCCCGTCAGGGTCAGTGGTCAGCGGCAACTCTGCCAGGAAGCTCCTCCGCTCTTCCTCCTGGGCCAGCATCAGTGCGGCCGTCCCCTCCGCCCGGCGAACCCGCGAGGCCTGGACCAGATCTTTGCCTCGCCGGACAAACTCTGAAATGGAAACAAGCCACAGGACGTCCTGGTGACTCCCCTACTGGCTTGAAGAGGGGGTGGGGCTTGGGGGTGGATTGCATCTCACTTGCTCCCCAAAGGCCGGCGTTAGGGTCCCTGGCCCTTTGAAGCCTGTGGCTCCACAGTAATTGGAGAGACCCCCACTTAGAGTTCTTAGGAGGGGGGCAAGCCAGCCCCAGGGCATGGCCTCCCGGGGGCTGGGGCAGGTGAGCCAGGGGGAGGGCCCCACCCGGTCCCTCGGTCCCAACAGAGTGCTGAGCACAGAGCTAGGGTTGGGGCAGCTCATGGTCGGGACCCAGCCCCGCTCTGAACTTGCTCCAGACTGTGTCCCCTCAAATTCCTGTGGTCACTGCATTTGGTGATGGAACTTCTAAGGAGGTCATTGAGGCTAAATGAGGTCATGAGACTGGGGCCCAGAGGCACAGGGGTGGCGCCTCGGGAGGGGACGAGACGTGAGAGGGCAGTCTCTCCGCCATGTGCGGGCACAGCAAGGAGGTGCCGTGTGCACAGCAGGGGGTGGGCCTCCCCAGGAACCAAATCGGCTGGGACCTCAGCTTCCAGAACTGGGAGAAATCAGTGTTGGTTGCTCAGGCCCCTCGCCTGTGGCACCTTGTCAGGGTGGCCTGCCCTGTGGGGTCCAGGCCTGATGGGGGTCAGAGCCTGCTGGGGACCTTGTCAGGCACACAGGTGCCCTGCGGACATCGTGATGAGACCCGAGAGGCCCCGCTCTGTGCCTCCGTCCAGGCCTGGGGGCGCGTTTCCTGCCCAGGGTGCGAGGAAGCTGGTGCAGAGGTGGGGCAGCCCCGAGGTGAGAGGCCAGGCCTTCTCCTCCTGGCCCCACTGCAGGCCTGACCTGGACTACGTCTCGGGGCCCTGGACGGCTTCGGCCCTTGCCGGTCACTCCGCAGAGCCGGCCCAGGAGCAGGACCTCGTGTGGGGAGTGGCCACGTCAGGCGCCCCCTCCCGGCTCCCACGCCCCGCCTGGCAGTTACGCAGGACCTGTGATGGGTGTGGGGCTGCAGCTGAGAGGCACGCGTCTCCTCTGGGCGTTTCCACACTCATCAGCCTTCTGCACGTTCCGGGGCCTTTGCTGAGACCCTGGGCTCTCCGTCAGCCTGAATAACCAACACCCCAGTGGAACAGGAGAGCCCCACCCAAGGAGGCAGCTTGTATGTACCCCAATTTATGAAGAAGGCCAGTGAGGGTCAGAGAATTTGAGTCTGGTCCCCCCAGGGCAGAACTGGGACACTTACAATGGCTGTCCCCCAGCCCCGCAGCTTGGTGGCCCCGAGAGGCCCGCGCCCAAGACCTGGGCCCTGCTGCAGCTCACTCACCCCTGCTGAAGCGCTCAGCCTCCTCCCAGAAGGCCTTGTGCTGCTGGGTCAGCAGCTCCTCCTTCTGCGCCCCCGACAGCCTCCCCTCAACAGTCAGCCCGCCCAGGCTGCGGGAGATGGCGGCCAGCCGGCACTTGGTCTCCTCCTGGACCTGCTGCTTCAGGGACTCGATCGCCTTTGCCATGTGTGCCCGCCCCATCGTCCTCTCCAGGACGTCCTGAGAAGAGAAAGACGCCGGACATTTGGTGGGTCGCCTCTCATCTGTTAACAGCAACAGGCTCCGTCTGGCGCCCCCACCTCCCCGAGCCCCCTGCGTCTGCTCCTCAGACAGGGGCCACATCGTCCCTCGGGGAGACGCGGTGACATGGACACTGGATCACATATGCAAGGCGTGTGGAACACATCGAGTGCCCTGCAGAGGGGCTGCTCTTCTGGGAAGGATTCAGCGCATGCACAGCACTGAAGAGGAAAACCCACCTTTCTCAGAGCCCTCCCTCCCCCAACCCCCTGGGCCTGTGGCTGCTGCAGCCCCAGAGAACTGCAGGGAGTGGAGAGACATCACGGGAATTCTGGGCTTTGGGGCCTCACAGAGCCCGAGTGCTGGGGCTTTAAGAGACCTGAGGAGGGCCACTGCCCCAGAGTCAGACCTCAGAACGGGCCCCATCCTATTCCACCCCGTTGTCATCACTCGGGACACCACTCCTGCAAGAGGCCTCCCCCACGCAGGCCATGCTGACCAGAGGCGGGGTGGGGGTGGGGTTTACATTGCAGAGCAGACACCCAGTGAGCGAGCACTGTGGGATGGGGGTGAGGGCGACGGGAGGTGCAGGGACACTGCCGCTGTGGCACATGGGGCCCGGTGAAGCCGCAGGCCTGCGTCTTTCCCCACCTCGCCACGGCCACGGCCCCACCGGCCACGTGACACTAGTAGAGGCCTGAGTTGGCCCCACCCCTTCTCCCCCAGGCCTGCAACCCTGCCTCATCCAGACCCTCCTCCTGTATTCCCTTCCTGCCAGCCCACAGCCACCCCAGCTCAGACGGCTCTGGTCACCTCTGCCCTGGGCTAATGCCTCAAACCGTTCTTGGTCTCCCAGCCCCCACTGTCCCCTTATGCTCTGCCCCTGCTTGGCATCTTTCTGAGATGCAGATGTGGTTCCGTGGTCCTCTGGCCCAAACCCTCCAGTCCCCGCCCTCACATCCAGTCCACACTCTGGGGCACAGTGCACGAAGCCTTCAGGACCAGGCCTGGCTGAGTCCCCACACCTGCAGCTCCTGGCTGCTCAGAACACCCAGCCTGCACTTCCCCCAGGCCTTGGCACACACCAGGCCTCCCACTGCAACCCCTCCCCTTTTCCTCTTACCTGGCTGCCTGGCCGGGCCCTACACAACCCTACAGGCTCTGATCTTCCCCACCCCACTGTACCCCTGCTCCCGGCTCCACTGCCCAGGTGCTTCTGTCTTTAAGGAACTAATCCTGAGGACACTTGAAACACAGAGCCCTTGAAGACAGGGGCTGAGTCTGAGCCACCCGCTGCCTAGCCTGGGCCTCACTGTGGTCTGTGTGGACAGGGCAAGAGTAACCATCCCCGACTATGGACAAGGATGCTGAGGTTTATTCTGGAAGGCCACATAACTAGCCTGAGGGACAGTGGCTTTGCATCTTCCTCTCCTCCAAAGAAAGGGACCTGCCAGCAGCTTGCAGGCCCATGACCACTAGAGGGCGAGGGAGGATAGGCGCTCAGGCCTTGAGACCCTCCTGGCTCCCGGTGAGAGCCGCAGCTCAGGTTCATAGTGCAGGACAGATGGAGGGGAGAGAGGTGAGCCTGAGCGGAGGGGCGGCAGACCGAAGGCGGAGGACAGAAGAAGCAAAGGGACACCAGGCTGGGCCCCAGGCTCAGTCGAACTTGGCTCCACCCCTCAGAGCTGCAGGACCCTGGGCACGGGGTCCTCATCAGACCCCTAAGTGCAGAGTTGCTGTGAGGACTAAAGATGCACCACGTGCAGAGCAGCCAAAGCAGCAGCGTGAACACAGCAGGTGCTCGGGGACGTGGAGGCTGTCATCATGTCTGCAGCCAGGCCCCTCACCGCTCGTGGCTTCCAGTTGTCCTCAGCATCCCAAGAGACGGATTCCATAACCGTCGGAGCCCTTTCCAGGGCTCCGTTCTGACAGCCATCCAGGCCACGTGACACGTTCTAGGCCCGTGATGCTGGCCCGAGGACTGAAACTCTTCTCAAGTTCATCCACAAAACAGCTCCAGATGCATCTTGGGGTGTGGGGGAGGGACCTGAGCGGGGCCAGGCAGGGCTAATCCAGCCCTCTCCCGCACAAACGCCCACTGTAGCCCTTTCCGGGCACCGTTGTCACGGCGTAAGTTTATCTGGCCTGCTGAGGTGTGACCTGCAGGCGTCTGACCACTAACACGCATGCGCGCTTCCCATGCACCGGCCCCTGCTCAAAAGACCTGGCGTACAGTCTGATCTCTAACACTCCCTAAGCAGCGGCCACTCTGATCCCATTTGACAGAGGATGCAACTGAGTCACAGTAACAGAGAGGTTGACGAACTACTCTAGGTCGCATGGCCAATCAGTGGCAGGACTGGGGCGCCTGCTCAGCCCTCTGGCCCGAGTCTGCAATATGGTTTCTGTAACTGAACAGGGCTCCCAGTAGATGGCGCTCCTCGGATGCTGGCTGAGGGAAGAGCGGCTGGAGCACCTGGATAATTCTCTCCCTTCCTATTTGGACGTTTCTGGCAAATACTCGGGCCAGAGTCAGCTAAGGATACATTTGTTTTCCCTGCATCAATATCCTGCTGACAGGGTAACAATTAAATAAGAAGAGAAAAATTAGAAAAGGAAAAGTCTTTCTCCACTGATGAGCGTTCACATCAGCTGCCTGATCAAATTAAAATGCAGTTCAGAGGGGCGTGGATGGCAAACCAGGAAGCCTGGGTGCAGGCTCGATGCTGCCATGGGCAGGGCGGGGTCCCCGGGGGGCATAAGGGGGCTCCTCATCTGTTCACTGGGAGCATCACCCCTGCTTGTCTTTCAGTGGCGCCGAGGCAGACGAGGGGGCTGTGTGCACACTGGGTGGGACAAGCCACGTAAAGTCCCCCAGCAGCTGTGTGCATGGGGGGCCGCATTTATTAACACACACAGCTGGGTGTGGGTGTGGGGGGAGGTGCTGCATTTCCAACCAGCTCTCGGGCGACACTGATGCTGCAGCTCTGCAGACTGCCCTTAGGAGCAGATGGTTTGTGGAAAAGCGGCAGAAATCCACTCTGGCCCCTCAGGACCTGCTCCCAGGTCTCAGCAGCTGAGTCTGCGAGTCGAGGGCAGGGTGGCCGCCAGAGGTTTCTGAGCTGGGTGTGACCTAGGTGGTGCACAGGCCCGAAATGTAAGGTGTGACTTTGTCCCCAGGGTCAGAGGCAGGGTGAGCCCCGAACCTCCACACAGAAACTCCTGGTGACATGGGTGTCATAGGTCAGCAAGCATACAGGTAGATGGATGGATGGATGGACGGACGGAAGGATGGCTGGGCGGCTAGATGGTGGATGGACCATTGCTGTTTTCTGGACTCTCTCCCTCTACAATACGAAGGTGTGCACCCGAATGACCCGTACGGCACTTCAGGCTCCCTGCTTCCCCACCTCTGGGTCACGTCCCTCATGCCCGCTCCCCGCCCCTCCAGCGTACCAGAGCCTGCAGGTCCTGGGAGTCACGCAGCCGCCCTTCCGCTGCGGTCATTCTTTCTGTCAGACTCATCTCGAGCTGTCGGGCTTTAGAGCTAGAACACTTAAACTGGTCCACGAGCAAGTGCTGGATGTTTTCCATCTGTTTCCAGAAAGCTTCCATCTGTGAAATGACAATGAGAAGCAAGAGGTGGGGGGAGAAAGCTTAGTTAAGAAAGCTATAAAGCTGTCTGGCTCAGGCTTGGCAATTTCGATTCACTCCCTATCACAAGCTGAGATTCTAGACCATCCACACTCCGGAGCAAGTTCATCTCCGCAATCACCACGTTCCCTGGAGGTCCCTCCTCATGCCGCTGCCGGCGCCAGTCAGCAGCAGGGCGGCTTTTCAGCAAACGGTGATGCAGCTGTTATGGCAGGTCAGCACCGGCTTCCACAGTGTAAGGACCCTTCGCTGGGCTGATTCCTGCTGGTGGGTGGTGCACGGAATTCCAGTGTGCTCAGGGAAGCTTCCAGATTTATAGAAGGGATTAAACATATCCTGGAAATAAAAGTGCAAATGGCCATTTAAATATTAGATCCTGTCCTAAAGGCACAAGAGAGGATATGGCAGAGGCGCTGGTGGCCGAGGAGGCATTCTGCTCTAACATCTTCCTCCGTCCCCATCTCGGTGGGAGCAGGGCTGGAGTCGCCAAGCAGCTGTGAATGTTGGTGCCGCTGCTGTCACTGTGGCCTCTGAGAACTGAGAACGATGTCGCCAGGAGTCTTAGCTGCTCTCTTTTATCTTATGCCCAGCAGGTTCTGTGCTTCACACATTTTGTGTCTGGATAAAATATAGGAACAGGCTCAGGAAGGCAGGGCCCTTGTCATAGGTCCCCAAGCTGATGAGAGGCAGCGCAGCTTCGGTTCAGGTCTGTTCAGCCCCCAGCTCTGAGTGTCTCCATCTCGGCTCCACCTCTCTGCCCCTGAGACAGACAGTTCTTGCTGGACAGGCATGGAGGGGTCAGGGGTCATGGCCCCAGACCCACATGATCTTGCTGCTGTGGCTGAAGATGGAGAAAAATGACAACCTGACACCGACTGGGTCCAGCCAGCCCCCTCCCGGGGCTGGGCCTGGCCAGGAGGAAGCCCATGCCTGCAGGGACTGGCCCCTCTTCAAACGCTTGTTCTCCCACCTCGGGGCCTCCGGGCAGCAGCTCGTCCCATCACTGACCCCCACCCGCTGCCTTCCTGTCCCTCTGGCCCATCAGATGGCCTCCTCTCCAGCTGCTGGGAGAGGATGTGGACGAGGATCCATGAACTCCTGTGCAGCCGGAAACGGTTCCACGCCCAGCCAGCGCAGTGGCTTCTCCTCCAGCCCCAGAGAGCCAGGGGGCTCCGTCGTCCCTCTCACAAGCCCGGACTTCCCTTGGCATCCGTGACAAGGTTTCCTCCTGGTTCCTCCAAGTCCCTGCTCTGCCGTCTCATCTTGGTTCTCCTGGACTCTTGCCTCTGAGCTGTTGCTGGGATGCGAGATCTGGCACAGACCCCTTCCTCTGCCAGCCCTCCGCAGGCTCCCGGGCGGGAGCGCCCCATGGTTGCAGGTCACCAACACTGCAGATTCGCTTTTGAGAACCACGCACCCTCTGCTGGAAATATGCAGGCACGGACAACATGGCCCACTGCCTCGGGGACTCTGGGGGGCCACCGGGCCCAGGTCAAGCACCCTCCCCTCCCCAGCTCCCCCTAAGAACATACCTGCTCCCCTTGCTCTCCCACCCGAGATTGGGGGGCTCTGTCCCCACGCACCTCCAGGCCATCAAGCAGACTCACTACCTCCCCTCCCAGCTTGCTTCTCACTCTGGGGTCCTTATTTCCGTAGAACTGACCCTCTGCACCCTTTCCCCCCACCTCATTAAATCCCACCTGGTGAGCTCCCAACCTCTCCGCCCCTCCCCTTCCCCACCACACCCACCCTCAGGAAATCCCTCCTGCACTGGCCCTGCAGCTATTTAGGGGACCCCCACTGCAGCCTGTGTGGTCCTCCTGGAACAGAAAGGGATTCCGTCCCCACAGGAGCGGAGAACCCTGGGGCAGGGCCCTCTCCACCCGCCCGCAGGCCGGTGCCTGTGCTTCTCCCAAAAGCCTCCTGGGCCCTTCTTCTGTGAAGATGTTCCTAAGCCTGGGGTGGAACAAAGCCCCCCCCCTGCACGGTGCTCGGCCTTCCCATGTGTTCCCATCTGTCACATTTGTGGCCCATAAGTCTGCGTCTGCTCACCTGTCGGACCCCAACACCGCCAAACCCACCCCCCCACCAGGCTGGCCTGAGCATCTCTCGAGCAGGGCCAGGTCCAAGTTCATGTTGAATCCCCAGCAGCTGGCACAATGCCTGGGTGCCAATTAATACCTAATATGTGAAGAGGGGCGTGTGAATGGAACCCAAAAGCAAGAAGGAGATATTTGAGGGAAGCCACCCTCTCTGAACTTAAACCCTGCTTTTAAGAGTGAGGGGTGCAGTGTGAGGGGCTAGCAGCCAGCACCCGCTCTGACCGCCATGGGTAGGGACAGAGTGGGTTACAGCAACCTTGGCTTTCAGTGATAACAAGGTCCACCTAAGATTTAAACAAGGGGGATTGGTTTTTAAAAAAAGGAAGTCTTGGCACTTCATCAGACCTCTGTGGCGTCATTCAGAAACTGATGGCTGGCCGCAGGGGGAACCGACTGGGAACTGCAGTACTGGACATGCTCCCGTTGCCCACTTCTCCCTCCGACCAGGTGGAACCCCGGTTCTGAGGCGGAAAGAACGCCCACCACCTACGTTGTCGGTCAGCTGCTCAGACCACTCTCGCTCCCTCTTCTCCACGTCCGCCAGGGTGACGAACTCGGAGTCGCCAGTGCACAGCATCTCTGTGTTCGACAGTCTGACCCGCAGCCCCCTTTCCAGGTCCTGCAACTCCTGGGAAAGCAGAGGGAAGAAAACACGGGAAAAAATCGGAAATTTCTTAAATTCTAGAAACAGAAACGCTTCGATTTTCTCATCATCATGATGCCACATTTCTTAGCTGTAATGAAATGCCCTGGGCGTGGGCCCATTTCAGGCCCGATGACAGAGGCCTCTCTCATACACAGAGAGCTCAAGAATAATGGATTATTTTCTTTTATATTCCTCATTGCCCACAAAAAATAGACCACACTTAGTAGGCAGTGAAATGGGATCTTTCAATCCTTATGAAGTCCTGGAAAATTATATATTTAAAAATAGCCCAAGATTGTGCAGAATATAACCTCAGTGGTGATTCCCTTTGGTAGCGAATATGACCAATAGCCTTCTCTGTTCTCTGCTTCCAATATTTCCTCACATTTTAAGAGCACAGTTTGTCATTTTTTCATCTGCACACACATGCTAATATCTCTACAGTGTGTTTAAAAGTGAATATGGGAATAGACCGTTCTCATCCATGAAAGCAAAGACACTTCCATAAGTTTTATGTATTGTAACAGCAAGGAACCTTTTCAGGTTCCTTGACATAATAGGTCAAAGACTTACATTTTCTTGTTTTGAAAGAATCTTCTGGTAGAATTCATCCTCAGACTTCTTTTTTGGAAAAATGTCAAAGAGGCACATTTTTAAAATCTGAATAAACATCTATTGCCAGAAAAGGAAATAAAACAAAGGGAAAAGTTTAAAAAATGGTACCTCCCTCCCCCTCCTGCTTCTCTGTCTGTCTGTCTGTCTGTCTGTGGGTAAAGCAAAGCCCTGCCCCCCAGTGGCAGAAACTGCTCTGCCATTTCAGGGTCTGTGCCCAACGTCGCTCTCCACTCTCGCTGTGCTGGCTCCACTGTAGCACACACCCGTCCCCCAGGGTCTCAGGGACTCAGGGCGCAGACAGCCCGCGCCCCGGTCCTGCGCCGTGAATGGGTGACGAGCCCACCACACCACCTACCAAGTGCTCGTCCTGCCTCAGCGCCGTGTCCAGCTCTAGCAGGTCTTTTAAGTGAAGGTTATAGATGCACAGGTCAAGGTCAGCGCTGCAAAGTCAGACAGAGACAGAAAAGACCTTGAGCGTGTTTGAGGTGTGGAGAGAGGTCACACTTCAGTCCAAGCCACGTGTGTCCTGGCTCTGGATTTGAAGTTTGGCAGCATGCTCAGGGTCTGGGCCCACTCTTTCCACAGCCTTGGACTGTGTGCTGGGCCCTTGACCTCACCAGAATTCAGAGCAGATCGGCCCGAGCACCGATCCGCACACCTGCCAGACTGAGGTTCTTGGGCGCCACTGGACGCTGAGCCCTACTCCGGCTGGGTGGTTTGAGGACGCTGAGCATGGGCTTCTGAGATAAGGCGGTGGGTTCAGCCCTGGCCCCTTCACCATCTGCTGTGTGACCTTGGGCAAGTCACCCAGCTTCCCTGAGACTCACTTTATTCTTCATAAAATGGGGACAAAAACAGTGCCCACCCGATAGGGTTGTCAGGAGGCATTCATTCATTACCTAGTTAATAGTTCCCTGCATTTTGCCATGTACAGTGCGCTCCCATGTGTAATGTACACCCACGTTTTTGGCCCAAACTTTCAGGAAAAAAAATCTTTTGTTTCAATTTTTTAATTCAATTTATTTACTTATATTTAGAAACAAAACTGATTGTCGTATTCTAGGGTATTATTTTGCATATGGGTATCATTACTGCTTTCTAGAGGTACATTGTTAGTACAAAAGCACAAATAAAAAAATTAAAAACATTTATATAGATACAGAATTAGAACTATCCATGTATAAAGCTCATCCTATTTTTCCCCAAAATATTTGGGCCAAAAATGTACATTACACATGGCAGATATGGCACCTGTTGGGAACTACCCTGCCTGGTTTCAGGAGCTGTGACCGCCGCCCCCCCCACCCCGTCGCTAAGGCTGAGTGAGTGACCTTCAGACCATAAGCCACTAAGGAGACAAAGCTTATCTCCCTGGCAGGGGCGCTGCCTCTGCTCCTTTTACTTCACCCTGCCTGGCCCCCAATGCATGATGGGTTAGCCAAGGGCAGGTACGATTCCTCAAGGGAGGGACAACCTAAGACAGGCATGATCACAGGGGCCCCCAGGGAAGGATTTGGGGGACTACAGAAAAAGAAGGTGATGGACCCTTGCCCCTCAGCTTTGAAATGGCCTGAGTCCTCATTCTGTCTTCCAGAAGTCTCCTAATCTCTTGGCTGCCTTACTTCTCCTGCCTTACTTAAGCCTGCAACAATGCTGGTGGTGGGTGCTGCCCTGTGCTGGAAAGGGAAGGTTCCCTAGGGCAATCAGGCCTAAGAAAGAATATGTAAAATCCTGTGGAACCTAGTTTGCTAATACCCTCAATTTAAATAAGGGTCCAAGCAGGAAGTGAGTTTGTTCCCCAAAGTTTTATGGCCCTTTAACTATCTGACCCTGACTTAGAATAAGCCCTCAGAGACCTTTCAATGTTATCTATTGTTCAATAATTTCTGTCTGATAGTGCTTGATGAGCTTCATTCCTGTGCAAATTGAACCCAATAAAAGCCTGTCGAGGCTAGGGTCGGGGCGTTCTCCCCTTGAGAGGGTGGCCAAGGTGCTCTGAGGCTTTTTCTCCTCTTGAGAGAGAAGCCGTGCCGTCCCTTTTCCTTCACAGGACTTGGTAGTCCATGTGAATTTGTCTTGTGTCTCATCCACAATGTGGTGGATCCCACGAGCCGGGGTCCACATCAGGCACCCGTTGCTGACCCTCTCCCAGATGTACCGGGAGCAGGGGTGGGGCAGACAGTGACACAGGCCTGATGCTTATACCCCTGTAATACACACGGCACCCAGCCCTGACCAACACACAGAGAGTGCTCAGCCGGGGCCTGGCTGCTGCCCAGCCAGCCAGCCCCAACTCCTCTCCCGAGGGCTGGAGCCTGACTCCATGGCCCTCAGGCTGGCCGACACCGCATGGCCAGTGACAGGGATACAGGGTCCCACTCGGATGCTGGGCGGCTGTGTGTCTATAGCCGAGTGGCTAAACCTCTCTGGGCCTCCATTTCCTCCTCTGACAAGAACAGGATCCCCGGTCCGAGTCCACTGCCAACCCGCCCGTCCCCTCCTCACCTCTCACAGGCCAGCAGCTCAGGGAAGCTGTCCACCCGAAGGAAGGAACGGCTGAGGAACCGGTCGTCACTGGTGGCTGAGCGCAAGCTGGACGAGGAGCTGCAGTCATCCTTCTCGGCCTGGCTCAGGCTCCCCAGGCTGCTGGATGGTGATGCCTCCACCGGCTGGTTGGGCAGGACCGCCTGCTTCAAATTTTCGTGCAGAGACGGGTTGGAGGAACCATCGGCCAACGGCTGGGGCGGCAGAAGAGAGACAGGAGGCTTAGTGCATGGGTGTGACCACCAGGGGGAGTCTGGGTAACTCCACGGGCTGCTGTGCGGGCAGCTCCCAGGACGGCCTGGCCCTGGCACGCTGGGGAGGGCTGAGAGTGTCCTGTATCCCAGCTCCCTTGTCCCCAAGGGGCCAACACTCCACAGCAGGCCCCCCACCCCTTAGCTCTGAGCCTGCATCTGTTCCTGGTGGTCCCTGCACTGGGCCGCCCCCCGACCCCTCTGTGCAGCCCACCTGCCTGGCCCACCTCTCTCCCTGCTGTCTCACACTCCCTGGCCTGCTCTGTCCACTAACCTGCTGACCACTCAGCTCTTCTTTACTCACACTGACCTGGGTGGCACCTCCCGCCCCCAGGCCCTCCAAGAGGCAGGCACCCTACTGCTCTCGGATTGGCTCAAAGCTCCTCATCAAACAAATGCAGTTCCTGCCGTGACCACAAAAGGTCGCAGCTTGGCACAGCCTGAGCAGCAGTCTGTGCCCAGGCCGACCCCAGGCTGAAGCAGCCCTTCCCGAGCCTGCCTCCTCTGACAACCCTCACCAGGTTCCACAGGCCCCGGTCATTCCTGTCTGGCCTGACACCACACGCTGTCCCCCAACCAGCCTGGGACAGCCTCCGGGGTGAGGACAATGCCCCCTGACCCTGGGCCATCCCCCTTGGAGGCTGCCCAGTGGCGGGTGTTGAGGGTGGGGAAATGCCCCTGCCCTGGGAGTCTGCCCCTCCAGCCCCCTCCCCTCCCCCTGCCCCAGAGCTGAGGGAACGAAGCAGTTCCCTGTGTGTATTCCGGGGCCCTGTTCCGTGAACCGTGCCGTCTGTTCAGTGCAAGGGTCCCCCGAAAACCAAACTCGGGAAAGTCTCGGGTGTGCGTGCTGGAGCCCTGGCATCTGGCCGTCTCCACAAGGAAGCGGTAACTCAGAAAACCGAGCCCACCTGCCGCGTGGAGCCCTGACGTCTGCTGCTCGATTTCACCCTCGAAACAGCAAGGGCGGCAGGCAGGCCCGTTCCTCCCATTTCACAGAGGAAGAAACTGAGGCCCCAGGTGCCACATCATGGCCGGGGTGGGAGTCAGGGCGGAGTTCGAGTGACTTCAGCATGACTCTAGAGCCGGTCCTCTGTCCTGCCTGGAGAGCAGGCAGCATTTTCCCCAACTGGCTTGATCAGGAAACTTATTCCATAGGCGTCTCACCGGCCAAGGGCTCCCCCGGTCAGCCTGGGGACACTGCTCAGCAGGACTCCTGGCCGCCAGTGTGAGCGGCCCGCCTCCAGGCACGAGACCTGCAGCCGGGCTGGCAGGAGGAGAGGTGGCCTTGGCCTGTCACCTCCTGCAGTGTGACCTCAGGCGGCCACGGGCCTCTCTGGGCCTCTGCACCCTCGTGTGTAAGGTGGAGGTGACAGCGTTATCTGTCTTCCAGAGGTAGTTCAAGGTTGAAACGCCCGATGCGGACAAACGCTTGGCCCTCTGCTGGCCCTGCAGGAACTGTTCGGTGTGTGTCAGCCACTGGTGTTGGACTCAGGGACGGTGACCGAGACGCGGGGACTCTGTCCGAACCAGTGTTTGTATCAGTAGTAAATGGGCAGCGTGGGGCCGCCCCACTGGGCTGTCACCTGTGTCCCTGCAGACACAACAGGTGATGGCAGCTCCTCACCTCGAGATGCCAGGGGTGTGCGCTGACCCGGACAGCACTGACCCTGACGACGCTGTCACTGGCAGGGGTGCGGGGGGAGGGTCCACCCTGACGTGCTGCTCAGTTACAGAGCTTTGCCTTCATCCCTCTCCGAATGGGTTGCTATCCAACCCTCATGAGAACCCGAAACGGCACATTTGACCCCCTGCTACTGTCCTTGGTCTCTAGCCCATCACTGAATAATGGTGTTCCCAAGATGGAGCTTGGGACTCTCACCCGGAACTTCTGGTTGATGGGATAGACGACTTTGGCCTTCAGGGCAAATGCTGTGACATTGCTGTTGACAGACGGCTCGTGTTCCTGGGAAGGAAGCAGAACAGATGGTGCAGTGGGAGCGCTTCCTGCGGGACGAAGGGTCAGCCACCAAGTCTCCAAAATGCCACACCCTATTGGTCAGGGTGGCCTGGGAAAGGGGCCGCGGCATGTGCTCACTTGGTAAAAGGATGGGTGATGGATGGATGGACAGACAGACAACAGGTAGATGGATGGACAGATAGAGGATAAATGGATGGACAGGTGAATGGATGAATGGACAGATGGGTAGACAGAGGGATGTACAGACAGCTGGAAGGACAGATCGGTGGGTGAACGAATGAATGGGCAGATGGGCAGGTGGATGGATGGATAGATGGATGGACAGGTAGGTGGACAAATGGGGGGACAGGTGCACAGACAGATATGAATACACGGAAGGGCAGGTGGACGGATGGGGGAGGACTGGATGTACCCACAGATGGACGAATGGACAGATATTAAATACCGCATCTGTTTAATTCTAAGTCTTGACCTTCGAAAGAAATCAGGATTTAAATAACATGACAATAATTAACAAGAGTGCTCTTAAAAACTACCTATGTTAGTGAAAAAGTCCAACAGAATCATGTTAACACTGTCAAGTGGTAGAAACACTTAAATGTGGAGACGTTCGCGCAAGACTCTGGATCAGACCTTTCAACAAAGAGCAGCGGTTGGACAGCCTTCCCACTTGTCTGAGTCTCGGCCGCCCGGACGGCACCAGGTAGTGGATCTGGCCCCAGGACCGCGGAGGCAGAGCACCCAGCAGAGTGGTGGGGACCAGATGGGAGCGAAGCCGTGGCGGCTGTGAGCAGAGGTGAGGGGCCCAGAGGCCCCGCTCAGCAGCCGCCTCCCCGGGAAGCCACCCTGACCGTGGCTGCAGGCACCACCGGCCACCCGCTCTCCTTCCCCACGCCTCCCTGCGCCTCTCCCCTGCAGGGGGCGGCTCCTGGCGCTCGGCAAAGTCGGTGCTGAATGAACGCTCTGGAAACCAACAGCAGGTCCGTGCTTTCCAGCTGGACCTTGAAGGAAGAGCTCCTTGACAATGAGCGAAAAGTACAGAAGACGTTTTCCTTTCTCATAATGTGAAGGGTCGAACCAGCACCGGACCCAGGCAGCCAATGGGCCCCGATGGTTCTCCAGCCAGGGTTTCCCGGGATGCCTTCCAGAGCAGGGCAGGGAGGGGCAAGGCCCTGTGCTCGTCACTTCTGCCTCTCTCTTCGGACTCACCAAAAACAGACTTAGGTGACAAGAAGGGGAAAGACCACCAACACGTGCCACCTCCTTCAGCCTCTATCTCTCTCATAGTGCAGGCGAGACACAGAGAGGTTAAGCTATGTGCCCAAGGTCACACAGCTAACAAAGGCCAGACCTGGGATTCGAACTCAGGTTCCCTGGCTCTACGGGGGCCCACCAAGGCTTAGGGGTCAACAGGTTCCATTTCATCCTCTGCGTGGCAATCAAATGACCTTTCGAAGATGCAGTTCCCATCACTGTCCGGCCCACAACCCTCCTGGCTCCCCTCTGACCCCAGGGGGAGGCTCCCCAGCCCCCACCCCCTGACCCTGGCCTCACTGACCCACTGCTCCACCCACAAACAAAAGCAAAGAGTGGCAGAGGTGAGAAGGCTGCTGTGGGGCCCACGGTTGTGGGGCCCAGTACACAGTGAATGTGGGGGGGCTCGTCCAAAAATGACTAAGAATTTCAAGATGGCGATGTCTGGGGAGGCGGGCCGCGGCCTACGTGACTTCACGGGTCAGCCGCCCACAATGCCGGCCCTGGTTAATGTCGGAGCAGACACACTGACCCCAGGAAATGACACAGAGCCAGAAGAGCGTGACGCTTTTGTGGACTCCTCACCCGAAGAGGGAAAGAAAGCGCGGAGTGGAAGGCGTGCAGTGAGTCAAAGGCATGAGACCGAGGTTTGGAGTTCACCTTCAACAGGGCAGACAGAAGTGCACTTCCTGTGAGAACCGTGACCGAGGAGGACAGGGCGCAGAGGCTGCAGTGTAGGGGCCGCCTGGCACCTATGGATGCGGGGCGGGGAGGGGGCGCCGGGCCTGGGCAGGGCAGTGCAGGCCGAGCTGTGGCCACGCCCCTGCCACGAGGCACACCGGCCAGGTGGGAAACCTGGGGCTGGGGAGGCCTATCTGGTGGTCTGCCTGAAGCCTGCCACCCCCATCCCCACCCTGGGGCAGCCCAGGTGACCCCAGTAGGTGAACTCAATCCCAGAAGCACCCAGCCCACGGACTGTGGCCCACCGCCTGAACGGCCTGAGGTGCAGTTTTCGCAGCTGCCCCTCTGTCCAGAGCTCCTCCCAGTCCCTACGGCCGCCCTGGCCGCAGCCCAACAACCGCTGAGAAACGACGCAGCGCGAATTTCAGCGAGCTGCTTCTTCAGCTGAACCGGCGCTGTTATTCAGAAAACCGATTAGGGCACAAATGTAGGAGGGGAGGAGCCAATCCCCCCTGAAGCACGAGTGTCCCCTCCGTCTGCGACACCCAGCGCCGCAGGGAGAAGACAGGCAGCGGCTGCGCAGGCTCTGGCTCCAGAGCCTTCTGGAATGTTCTGTTTCTTTGCTGACACGAGCTATTTATCAAAACAGAGTGCATGCAAAGAGTGGCTTAAAGCACACATGCCTGGGTTTTCTGTGGGTTGGAGGACACAGGGGTCACGGCTCGATGCCCCCCCTCAAAATCGGCCCTGATCACATTCTCGGGATAAACTCGAGCTCAGTCTGCAGGAGGCGGGGCCTTGGGGCGAGCCAGCCACTGGAACAAGCAGACCTCTAACTGAACCCTTGGCAATCATTAGCCTGGTGATGGGTCTAGCTGGGCATGGCTACACTGTGAACGGGGAAAACATCGCTATGCAGGAAAAATGAGTTAGAGACGGCTCCCTGCAAATGGTGAGCCAGAGCTTACTCCACAGCAGGAATGCTTGTGGAGCTCCCTGGTGGTGACCCTGAGGAGCCGGCTCGCTGCTGATATCATAAAGCTGAGAAACTGGAGGCCCAGAGAGGTTATGTCTCTGGCCCAACATCACACAGTAAACAAGTGGCAAAGCTGGGACTGGGTTCCAGGGTGCTGGATCCCAAAGCAGAAAGCGATGCCCCATGGGCAGGCTTGGGCTGGACCGGGCTGGGGCCAGGACAGACGGACAGGGAGACCCTATCCTTTTTTTTTTTTTTACCCTTACCCAGGGATATTGCTTTATTGACTTCAGAGATAAGAGGAAGGGAAAGAGAGAGAGAGAAGAGAGGGAGAGAGAGAAACACTGAAGTGAGAGAGAAACATCAACTGGTTGCCTCCCCTATGACCCCAATAGGCGGTTGAACCCACAACCTAGGTGTGTGCCTGGACCAGGAATCAAACCCGCCACACTCTGCTGTACGAGATGGCGCTCCAACCACCCGCGCCATCGGCCGGGGTGACAGTCCATCTTTTAACATTGTGTTGGAGATATTTACTTAAGAGAAATAAAGCAAAATGAAAACGAATAAACCAACAAACTTACACGTATTCACCAAAGCCCTATTCAGAAGCTGAACTCCGCAAACACCACATGATGGCGTGTCCCCACCACACGAGGCACCAAGGGACTAAAGGTTGGACTATTGACACGTGCCGTGCCACAGATGGCAAAAGCAAGATGCTGAGGGGTCGCAGGCACCAGAAAGCAGGTGTAGAAGTCGAGAACCTGCAAGCCAGTCCCAGTGCGGGAGGCCAGTGGCTGCCTTGGGAAGGGGATTGGGGTGCGGGCAAGCCACAAAGGGGCACGGGGCCCTGAAGGACTTTCCGGGGTGACGGATCACTCCTGACCGGGGTATCGGTTTCAAGAGGGTGCACACTTGTCGCTCGTCAAACCGTACACGTAAAACCCAGGCATTTATCGAAGGTAAATTATGCCTTGAGAGAGGAGCCGACTGGGACCTGAGCTGCGTTGGAGGCGCATCTGGGTGACACCTGGCTACCAGATGGGACACAGTACGCCTGCTTACACCCAGAGCCTCCGCCTCCTTCCAAGTCTGTGCTCCTCTCTTCCTCCGCCTGGCCGGGGAGCCGTTTTCCGAGGGGGCCTGTGTGTTAGACTCCAGGTTCTTGAGCAGACTTCGAGTGTCGTCCACCTGAAATCCAAAGGTGGGGGACACACTGATGTCAGCGGGGCCTGAGCCCCTGGGACTGGAGCCACAGGCCCCACCCCCGCACCCAGTTGTGCTCCTCCAGGGCTCCTGCCGCTGGGCCCTGCGTGCTGCGCTGCTCCACCACCCGGCGCCAGCCCCGCATCGAAGACGGTCCAGGGGTCACCCCAGAGAAGCCCCCGCAGCCCCTTCTCAGTGTCTCCACAGGACCTGGGAGCCGAACGGCGGTCAAAGCTCATCTCATGGCTCGTCCGAATCAGTGGTCCTGGTGGCCTGGGAGCCCCTCATGGGTGACAGCTTAACTCGGGAAATGGCACATAAATGTTAATTCTCCTGTTACGGCCAATAACGTCATTGGGTGATTTTTTAGAAAATGTGTTAGATTACCTTAAAGTACAGAATGGCATTTGCAAATTTGCCTACTGGCTAAACTTTATTTGTAACCCCAAAAAGCAACGCCTGGGGCACCGTTGTGCCCGCTCCTGGGCGTGTGTGGACCAGCGCAGGGTCCGAGGGGCCACCGGGAGCGTCCAGCAGAGAGTGAGCAGCCACTGGTTCAGCTCAGACCCCAAACGAGCATCCTGTCTGTGCTCTAGTTAGTACCAAGTTTTTTTTTTTTAAAGAGCACTTTTGTGCTCTTTGTAGGTGATTGTGTTGTTGAAAGTGACCTCTAAGTGGAGTGCTGCCCGCGGTCTAGCGTCCCAAGCACAGGAAGGCTGTGGCGTGCCTCACGGAGAAAACGCAGGCGCCGGGTGTGCTTCATTCCGGCGCTTGGAACAGTGTTGTTGGCTGTGAGATCGACATTAGCCAGTCAACACTACATATTAAGCGATGTGTCTTTAAACAGAAACACACATACAATGAGGCTACATGCGTACTGATGGGTTAATGAAAATGTTGCAACTGGAATGTTGTGGAAACCTCACACCTATATTTCCCCAGGGGCCACGATGCAGTGTTTGCTAATTCAGTGTTTGCAGTGAGCGTAATTATCGATTATGTTTGGAACCCTGTTGTGCCAGAGACACTTCTCAAGCCTCTCTTGAGCACTGGCTGCCTCCGGATATAACCTTCGAACTGAAGAAACGTTTGCCCATGGGTTAGTCATGGAGCATCTGGGAAGCGTTCAGCCTTATCCTAGTCACTGGGAATGGAGTACGGGACAAAATATGCCGAGCTCCTGCCTTTGTGGGCCTTACATTCTAGCAACAGGAGAGAGATGTAGACAAAGGAATAAACACCTAGTATATCAGAGGTGACAAATGCTGTGGAGAGACAATGGGTGGAGGGATGCAGAGTAGTGGGAGGGAACGTCTTCTTGGACAAGACGGCTTTGAGAAGAAGCTCCAAGGAAGTGAGAGAGCAGGCCATCCTGATGTCCCGGGAACAAACTTCGCAGGGAGGGGCAGAGCCCGTGCAAAGGCACCGGGGCAGGAGCACGCTCGGCCTGCCCAGGGAAGCCTGTGGCTGGGGCACTCTGGTGGTGGGGAGACTTAGGGGCTGACTGTCCAGCACTCACAGTCGCCCAGCTCCAGGCTCTGCAGGGAAGGCCCCGCCGGGTCGTCCTACGGTGAAGGCTCCAGGAGAAAAATGTCATGTTTTTTTTTTCCCCCCTCCCAGTTAAAAATGATCTGGAGGCCAAGAGTCACCAGCTACTTGATTACAGACTAACGTGGAAGACAAACACAAAACAAAGAAGAGGAAAAGGCAAGCATGGGGAGGGGTGGGAAGCTTGGAGAATTATAAAACCTTCAGAGAGATAAAATATTGGGTTGGCCAAAACATTTGTATGGTTTTTCCCCTAAAATAAAAGACACATCTTTCATTTTCACCAATAACTTTACTGATTCGGATATTTTGAGTATGTTGGCTCTCTCCCATGTGGTATAATGTTGACTGTTCTCAATTAATGTCTCGATTTGGTCCCTGTTAGCTTCAGCTGGTCCACCTGGAGCATCGAGCATCGTCCAGAGAGAAATCTCCAGCAGGAAACTTCGCACACCACTCCTGACACATTTGATCAGTCACAGCACTTGTCTCTGGACACCGAACAAGGTTTTTTGTTTTTGTTTTTTTTCCATTTCAGTTGTGTTTTTTACCTTTCTTAAAATAATAAAGCACAATGTGCTAAAAATGTTGTATATTTTCTGCCATCTTCAATATTAAATGGCCACACAAAACTCACTAATTTTGATAAGCTTTTTAAATTCTTTAAAAAGAATTTAAAGAATTCTGATAGGACAGCTGTTACAATACAATCTAACAAAATTGTTTCAAAGGAAGTTAAAGACAACGAAGCGCTACTAGAGCCATGCTGGGGGGAAAACCTAACAAACTTATTGGCCCGCCCCATGTGACATTCGCGGGTTACAACATGGATGTACAAACAGGGAACCTTCTGAGGACAGGCCAGAACACAGCCAGCACTCAACACTGTTAGTACTGCTCCCCCACCTCAGAACTGGGGAGGCTGTGTTATAATCACGTTGCCTGGTAACCTGTCTCCCAGAGGCTGCCCACCTCCAGAGGTCAGGGCAGGGTCTAATCCGCTCACTGGGGTGGCCTCTATGATCCCTGGACCGGGGAAGGGGGGGCGGCTGGCAGCAGAAAGGTGCTCAGCAAACTAAGGGTAGGGGTGAATGAATGAATGAACGGAGGATGAATGAATGAAGGGAGGCCTGAATGCATCCCAGCAAGAAGCTGGGACTCGGGAGAGGCTAACAAGGTAAAGCACTGAGCGAGGAAGCAGAACAGGCACCCAGGGGTGAGGATCCCCAGCCTTCCAGCCAGGATGCTAAGCTGGGTCCCCGCCAGCTTCCAGTCCAGACCCCCCAGTGCTACAGATGGGGAGACTGAGGCCGGGAGGGCGTTGGGTCTCTCCATCACACCGCGGCCTCGGATGGAGGCATCTCTGGGGACAGCGCCCTTCTGTTCGTCCCTACGCTGCTTCCCTCTGGAATCACTGTGTCCAGCCTCCTCCTGGAGCAGAAGGGGGGAGCCCGGGGCAGCACCAGTTGCGCGCAAAGCCCGCGATCACGTTCCAGTGGAAGTAGAGCCCGGGCCTGCAGTCCGACCCTGGGGCCGAGGAGGACAGCGCCCGGTGAGCCCCACACCCCGGCTGCCTGCTTGGCCGACCCACCTGTTGTCCTGGCCGCCGGCGGATGGCGCGGCAGCCTATCCAGAGGCCCAGGCCCAGGCCCAGCGCGGCGCCCAGCAGCACCGCGGGGACCAGCAGCGCGGGCGCCGCCCGCACTGCGTCCCGGCCCAGCAGCAGCCGCGCATCGCTCCCGCAGGCCTCTCCACGGCGGGCCATCAGGGGCGCTCAGGCGGCGACCCGGCTGCATCCCGTCTGCCGCCTCCTACCGCCCGGGCGAGCCGCCCGGAGTGCCGTCCCCGCCAGGTTGGCGATGCAGGACTCACAGCCCGGACGGGCCAGAGACACAGCGCGATTCGCTGACTCTCCGGCCTGTGCGGTCTCCTTCCTTCGCTGCCTCTCTCCGGTCCCGCGCCAGAGCCAGAGGGAGGAGCCTGGATCTTCCGTCAGCCCAAAACTTTGAGCCACCCCCTCCCCAGCCCGGCCTTTGCACTGAGCATGCCCGGTTGGACGCGCGTTTTTTTTTCAGGAGCCGAACTTTTCAGAGGATTCCTGTTTTTCCCTGGGCCTCTGAACCTCCGGTGGAGAAGGGGTCCTCAGCAACTAAGGAGGGCGCTGCTTGGATAAGGTTCCGGAGCGCCTACGACTGCCAGGCATTTAGCCTGACCATCTCAGCAACTTTCTCAGCAGCCCTCCCTCCGGGGATCCCCGCTCCTGGCGATGAGGAAGCTCAAATCCCAGGGACTCAGTGCAGGCCCACCCCGGCCTTGCCGCCAGCCGAACTTTTCTTAAGAATCTGTCTTAATGCCTTTTCTTCACCATGGTCAATACTTTCCTCTAAGATAGAGTGTAAAAAGATTGTTGCACCAGCATCCAGTAGAAATGCTGCGTGGCCATTCACTCCCTAGTCAATTACAGAAACCAGGCGCCTCCAACCAGCACGGGGCCAGCCAGGAACTGGACGAGGCCCGGGCTCGGAGGGTGTCAGGGCTGTGTGGGAAGATACACAGCGAGGTGAGGTCAGCATCTGTTCTTTAAGCACACATTTACTGAGCAGCTACTGGATGCTGGCTCTTGCCCTGGATGCTGGGGGCACAGCGGTGAACGTACATGTGTATGACCTCAGTTCCCTGGGGGTGCGGGAGACAGAAGACCCCTGGGGATCCACTTCAACAGAGGATGAGTGGCATTTGTGTCCTTAACCCGGTCCTGCAGCTCGAGTTTCTGTTTTTTTTCATCATTTCCCCGTCAACCCTTCTGGTGGGCCAGATGGGAACTGCCACTCAGATTTAGCTTTTATAGATGAAGAAACTGACAGTCGGAGAGGAAAACAGGGCCCGCCCAAGGTGTTGCCACAAGGAAATGGGACAGATGGGTGAGCGCCTGTGACCGTCTGGCCTGTCCTTGGGGCCAGAGGAGGGGCTGACAGTCCTCTGGCTCCCAGGCCCCTGGCTGCAGACCTGACCAGCTGCCCTGCAGGAAGGCTGCAGGCGGGGAGCCCCTCCCCCGGAACACGTGGAAACAGTAACGGAGAAGGTGGAAGCAGAGAGAGCGATCTGCGGGCCTTCTGGCCTCGGTCTCCCTCTCTGCGTCCCTGCAGGGCAACGCACCGCCCCTCCCAGAGAGTTCGGGGAGGCTGCCCAGGGCCTGCCTCCCGGCTCCAAACACGAACTCCCCTCTCTCTGGCCCACAGGAGACACCCCACCTCCCAGCCCCCGCCTGTGCTGTCCTGCCCGCTCTGGGCCCTCCGGGACACACGGCCTTGCCTCTCCAAATGCTTCTCTGTGAGGGAGCTGGTGGGCTGGGGGTAGACTCGGGGTTCAGCCCGGTGTGTGTCAGGGATGTTTTTTTGGAGAAGGTGGTCCCCGCCTAGAGTTAGAGAACGTAAGCGTTAGCGGAGGGGCACTTGGAGCCCCTGGGATGTTTGGAGGCAGCGGGACCGCCGGAGCTGTTGTGGGTACTGCGGAGCCACCCGGCGGGGCGCGAGTTAACCCAAGTGTGGCTCGCTCCCTCCCACTCCCGTCCCGAGCCTCGCCCTCGGCCCCGCCTGGCCCGCCTAGCCCTAGCTGCAGAGGTCTTCCAGAAAACTTTCCGCGGCGGCTCGTACTGGGCATGCTCGGCGGCGGGGCGGGTCTGGGGCCCGGAAGCGGCCGCAACTCCGCGGTGCCTGCAAGTGGGGAGTCTCTGGCCCGGGACAGGCAATGGGCTCCGCGGCCGCCCCAGGGCGCGCCGCTTGGGTGCTGGCTGGGGGCCTCCTGGCTGCCGCCCTGGCGCTGCCCGCCGGGTCCCGGGGCCGAGGGTGGCTTTCGGCGGGCCCGAGTCCTCTCCGGCGTCCCCTGGGCGCGCAGGCGCCCCGGGATCGCCCCGCAGTCCCCGGGGCGGGGCCGGAGCGCACCGCGCAGGTAAGGAGGTCAGGTCCCCAGTCTCCGCTCTGACTCGGGCGGCTCCGCTTCAGCTCCACCGGTGGCGAGGTGCTCCGTGGAGTTGGGGAACTTATCAGAAAGGGTGGGCGCACCGCGGTTTTCCTTAGTGCAAGCTGCTTACCGCCGAGAACTCTCCGTAAAGGTGGGGACAACCGCGAGGTGGCTGCGGAGAGCCTGTGGCAGGGGGGCGCGTGGCGGGTAGGGGGGGACCCCCGCTCTGCAGCCCAAGAGCTCTGGGGCCCAGGGCCATTCACTTTACTTCTTGTGCCCGCGTTTCCTGCTCCGTAAGCACGGCGGCGTCCACCCCAAAGGGTTGATGTCCAGGTTTGGTGAGTTCGCGGTCGCAGAGCGCGTTGCAGAGGCAAGCGCCCAAGGGGAGAGTAACGGTGCTGGAAGTACCGGAGAGTAACGGCTCAGGTTGGGATTGCTGGCTGGAGACGTACCTGACCGCACCCTGGGGCTGCTGAGTTTAGCCACTCCCTCTTCACCCTGCCCCGCCCTCTGCGGTCCCAGTCTGGGGAAGGCAGCCTGGCAGTCGCCCTAGATTTCTGCGCCCCCTTCTCCCCAAACTGGTCACCGGGCCTACTGCCCTTTGCTTCAGATCAGCTCCAATGTCTGTCCCTCCCCGCCCCCACCAGCCCCTGGGTTCAGTCCCCACCCCTTTCCCTCTGGCCTTTGGTGACCCTTCCCTCTGGGTCTCCCTCAGCCCCCTACTTTGAGCCCTGGCTTTCCACTGGGATTTTTCCATGGGAGCCACTGGGGCCTGGAGCAGGCCAACGGTGATGGCTTCTTGGCCGGGTGTGGGATCCAGCTCAGAGGAGGCTGTCCCAGAACACCAGGGGTCCCTCTGCAGGCTGCTGTGTGGCGGGTACGCCCCCTCCGTGGGCGCGGTCATTGAGGAATTTGTCCTTGCTTCTGCTCGCAAGGCTCCTGCTGAACTGTCAGGTCTCGTTAGTTGCATCCCTGTGACAACGGTGCTGTGTATGTACATCCCAGACCCAGAAAACGCCCCATTGTCCACATCCACCTTCTGTCCTAGTAGGGTTTAAGTGCCAACCTTTTGATCCTCTTTAAAAAGATCTTCGAGATTACTTACGGCAGTTACTAGACTGGCCAAAGTAATTTCTTCATCCTCCTTAAAAGTTCATCTTGTATTTTTATGAAATCTGGATAGCATGAATTTTTTTTTGTTTTCTAATAATTTCTGTATTTTGTTGTAGCGTGGAGACATTTCAAGAGACGTTCGAGGAACTCTGGAGAATGGAGTAATTTTTCAGAAATGTGCTGTGGTAAGTGTTCATGGGTGGCTCATACTTGAGGGGAAGGTGATTGGATTTCGCCCAAATCCTTTATTAGGGAGGTTTCGTGTGTAAGAGCCAGCAGAGCACAGGATCATCTACCACGTCCGGGCACGAGTGTGATGAGGGGACCTGCAGGGGGGTTATTATTATTTCACCAGGGCAAAGAGTATTGGTAACCTTTGAACTGGTGTTAGTGAAAACCACTGTGGTCACTTAGACTAGGCTTGAACATCGATATGGTGCTTGACCATTTAAAAAGTTATTTAAAGTCCTTTAGGTCTTCAATCCCATGAGATGGCTTGTCACATTGTCTGTGTGGTGGGTCCCCAGTCCAGCCCCAGGGCCCTGGACTCTCCAGAAGGGCTCACAGGACTCAGCCAAGCTGTCGGGCTCCGGGTACCATTTATCGTAGCCAAAGGGTGCAGGTTTGCGCCAGCAGAGAGCAGAGTCCCCGCTGTCCTCTCCTGGTGCAGTTGTATGGACAGCTTTTCCCAGCTGTGATGTGTGACATCAACCAGGGCCCTCCAGAGGTCACCCTGACCTGGCTTGGACCAAGGCCTCCGGTGTATGAAGATGCTCTTATCAGGGAGGGTGTTCCGGGGCTTTAGGGGTCAGGCTCCCAGGTGCTGGTCCAGGGCCAGTCCTTTCTCCGGAGTGTGCAGGGTGTGGGCGGCCCCAGCATGCCGAGTGACACCATTACTGCCTGACCCTCGTCTTCTCCGAAGCCCTCAGGGGTCTTGCTCCCCTTCCTGGGCGCACCGAGTGCTCCAGCTTCTCCTGTGTCCTCCTGGGGATGTGTCCTGTCCTGTGCCTGCAGTCATGAAGTGTGAGTGTGTGTGTGTGTGTGTGTGTGTGCACCTGCACCTGTCTGTGCACGTGCCTTCCTCTGCACCTTTACGTCGGTGACAGGGCCCTAGACCCAGAGTTCTGCACCCCGCTTTGCGCAGTGGAGGTCCCAGAGTCACTTCTCCGGGGACATGCATGGCACCCCTCCTCCCTCCAGCTCCGGCAGCTCATTCTGCAGAGCTGGGTGATGGAGGGGTCAGGCTGGTGGCAGCCAAGTTAGAGAGGGGGGCAGGGACAAGGTGTTGGGCCACTGGGCAGCTTCCAAGAGCTGTGCTGGCCAGATGGGCCTGGGCCGGAGGGGGCAGACCTGCAGGCAGGAGGCCATCTCAGGAGAGCCCGGAGACCAGATGGCAGTCTGAGGCCCGGGCAGGGAGGGCTCTGGGGCCAAATCTTCAAAAAAAGGGCCTGAGAGAGAACCCCCGCTTGCTCGGTGACACCACTTGTCACGCCCCCCCAGCCTGACGTTGGTTCTGTGCTCGGATGTCTTTTCTTCTGAGTTTCTCTGTAGGAGCCATTTCACAGCATCTTAGGGCCCCGGCGACTTCGAAAAGGTCACCAAGCAGCAGCTTGGCTAGCGTTGAACTCTCCTGGGGCCTTGGAAGTCAGACCCTATGGGTTCTCAGAGCCTTTGTGAGACCATAATGCCCTCCTCTGTCCTCCTGGAGACGTTTTCCGCCATGCACGTGCAGGGATGAGTGTGTGTGTGCACATGCGTGTACCCTCCCACACATCTGTGTACATGCCTGAACATGGACACAGACCTTCTCTGCCTAGACACCTACTGTGCACAAGTCAAGCCACAGCGTCATTCCAGGGGGCTGAACCGGTCATTGACTCTGCCACCACTTCACCCCTGTCCTAGGTGTCGGGGCCGAGGGTGTCACAGACGGCTCAGGTGCGTCTGCTGGTGAATAACACCCCCACACCGGCGGCAGCCAACCTCTCAGACCTGCTTCTGCTTGACAACATCACTGGCCTCACCGTCAGGGAGTCGACCGGAAACAGGACATCGGCAGGGTTCCAGGCCTTCAGGAGGAAGTTCCTGGCAGGTGAGGGCCGGGCGCCAGGTCGGGGACACACGCACCCCCAGGGCACATGCCCTGTTCTGTGCATTCACTCAGCTGGTGCTCACTGGGATTCCCAGGGGGCGTCCTCGGTGGGGACCGCCTCCTGACAGCTGCACGTGACAGGCTGGACCTGCTACTCAAATGACAGAAGGGTGGGATTTGGGGAGTTTTAACAAATTATAGATATTCGGTTTTTATTATGAAACATTTCAAATGTAAGCAAAGACAGAGTCTGTAGGAACCCCAGGATGGCCATCACCCGTGTGACCAGGGTTGCCGCCTCTCAGGAAAATGCACAGCCGTCCAGGCTGTGCCAGAGAGTGGTCCAGACACATGGAGAGGCAGTGGTCACCCCATGGCTCGCTGACCTTCCCAAAGCGCTGGGCGGGCTCTGTCACCCCCTCGTGGGGGCTGGTGTCGCCAGTCTGGCAGGAGCTGAGCCGTCTTGCTTCCTGCTGGAACCCACTCTCCGGAGTAAGAGGGGCTCCCAGTCAGAGGAGGCGCCCTGCCCAGGGAGAGAGGGCAGGGAGTGGCCCCCCGGATTCGGTCGGGTGCCTGCGTGTGGGGACGGAAACAACAGGGTGTGGCTGTGTGTCTCCCCTGATGGGCTCTGTCGGCTTGTCCTTCCAGTCCCCTGGGCTTTTCTGCTGATCTGCAGGGCGGTTGGTGGCTGGTCCTCTGCGGAAGCTGGTCAGCCGAACGGCCCCGCTTCCCTAGCTCACCAGCCCATGCCCCCGCGTGCCCTTCTGGGAGTGCCAGTGAGCACAGAGACCTCGTTTCATCCCCCATAAAGACTTTGGGGACCACTCTGAGGGTGCATCACGGAAACACGCCCTCCCCAGGGCTGGAAGTTCTCCTCATTCCAATACCACTCAAGCCATATCCTGCCACGCTCTTCAACAAGGTGTTATGAATCATGGGTTTGCAGTACGATTAAAGGACACCCGGGAGTTTATTTTGCACAAAATCCCCCGGCAGCGACCTGCCAGCATGTGCCTTCGGCAGATTCTCGGGGAGAAATGAAAATCTCACAAGTGAACCTCCTACAAATTGAACTTCAGATATATTCAAATCAGAAAGGAATCAAAATCTGAGACCAAGGTGTATCCCTGGTAGGTTTTTAAAAGTCCAAAGTCCAGAAGTCTGAAATCAACTTAGACTTCCTTAAGCCAGCTTCCCGGCATGCTGTGCTGCCCAGGCCCCCCGACGCTGCTGCAGTCTGGAAAAGGTGGGCTTCCCTTCCGCTGCAGATGGGGTGCGGCGCCTCGTCTCAGACGCCCAGTTAGTTGAACGCCAGGCTCTCACACGCCTCCCTTCTTACAAAGTCCCCAGAGCTCAGGGACACAGAGTGTGGAGTGGCCACACGGTGGAATATTGCTCGGCACCGAACAGGGGTGAAGTGCTGGTCCCTGCGCCAGTGGAGGTGTGCCTCCCAAAACGTGCTCCGGGAACACACATCGACACCCCCGTTCCCGTGAGCCGACCAAAAATGGCAGGTTTGTCCCAGAGAGAGTAGATGAGGGCGGGGGAGGCAATGGGAGTGGCCGTCTTTGGGCTCAAAGCTTTCTTTTAGGGCAACGGCGTGTCCTAAAACTGGATTGGGGTGGTGGCCACACAGCCGGAAATATGCTAAAACAGGTGAATTGAATGGTTTGCAAACTTTCTCTCAAAGCTGTTTTTGTTTTTTTTAAAAGACCTCACAAGCCCAGCCCCACAATCACCCGATTTCAGACACGAGCAGTTCACGGTCCCTGGACAGGCTCGGCTGGTTGTGTCCCCGTCTCCAGGCTGTGGCCGACACTGAGGCTCCGAGGCCGCTGCTGTAACAGCAGGGACAGAGACTTCCCTTTGGCTTCAGTTTACAGAGTGCCCTTGGTCCCTGGGGGGAGCCCGTCGGCGGATATAGTTGATCCGTGGCCACACCCTCCGGCAGGTCCCGGTCCACGCTGTCTCCCTTCTGGAAGCAGTGCCGCGATGTCGCCCACCCCACAATAACTACCGACCCCGATCACACGCAGGGCTCCTCTCCACGGGCTTCCAGGACGTGATTGTGAGCCCCGGGTTTGACTGAGGGTGGCCCCCCCCAGCGGCAACGCCACCTTCTGCTAAGAGCCGGCGTTTTCCGTGCAGCTTCCTCCTGAGCAGAGCTCTGGGCCGTGACTGGCGCCCAGGGGAGCTCTCCCGTGGGAGCAGCTGGCTTTCTTAATGAAGCAGCTGAGGGCCGACTAGAGACCACGAGGTTGGGGACCCTGTGTGAGCCCCCAGGGAACCCTCACTGCCCCTCCAGGTCCCTGCCTGGTGCCACTGGCTGTGCACAGAGACCCTGCTGCCTGGAGGTGTCAGAGTGTCACCTCCCTGTCACCAGGGGTGGCTGCATAGCAGGGCCCCGTTGTGACCCCCCTGTGTCTTCTCTCTGAGCAGTTGGAGCCACCTTCTCGGTCAGCTACACTGCCTCACTCGAGGCCGGAGACGTCGGGCGTGGGGAGAGCCTGGTGCTCCCCGCCCAGCTCACCTTCCAGAGTTCATTGCCGGTGCGTATGGCCTCTGATTTCTGTCTTGTCGCTATCCAGTGGGGTTGTTCCAGAAACATTGACTCGGAGGGCCTGGGGTCTGTCCCTTCTTACCCCTCTTCCTCCCTCCTTCCCTCCCTCCTTTCCTTCCTTCCTTTTTTCTTCCCTTCCTTCCTCTCTCCCTCCCTCCCTCCTTCAGTGACGTCAAATTCTGGATGAGCACACAGGCCCTGGCATCTCACACCCTTGACCATGGACCTGGGTCCCTTGGTGGCTCACTGTGACCTTGAGTGATTCCTTAACCCCCGTGGGCCTGGCACGGGGTTCGTGTGAAGATAACTAACACCAGATGCTGATGTCTTGCGCTGCGCCTCGCACTGAGTGAGCCTCAAACAGCAGTGGTGGAACCTGGCGGCTCATTGGAGCTGCCGTGAGAGCACCACGGACTCAGTGGCTGAGAAACAGCAGAGCCTTAATCCCTCACAATCCGGAGGCTGGAAGTCCAAGGTCAAGGGGTCCTCAGGGTGGCTGCCCTCTGAGCCTCTGTCCTGGGCTCTAGGGGACCGTCTGCTTCCTGCATCTTCACACAGTCATCCCTCTGTGTCCTAACCTCCCCCTTCTATAGGGGCGCTGTCACACTAGATGAGAGCCCGCCCTCATGGCCTCTGTGGAGACCCTGTCCCTAAGCATAGCCACATTCTGTCATTCTGGGGGCAGGGCTTCAACGGGTGGGTTTTGGGGGACACAACTCAGGCCATAGCGCCATGGCGGTCAGTGTCTTCATTCTTCATTCACCCTTTCATTAGCCCCCGTAGCAGTGAGCAGTGGCTGTATGGCAGGTGCCAGGTGCTGTGTCTGCCCTGGGGACACGGGAGGAGGTGCGTCCATCCTTGTCCCCCAGCAGCTTGAGTGCCAGTTACTCTGTTCAGCTAGCCCTGACTCCGCCCCCGGAGAAGGCACTGATAAAGGTGTGGGGACGGACTCTCTGATGGGGCTGCCCAGGTCACGAGACAACACTGGACGCAGACCCCTCCCCCTGCCAGCCCCTCTCCCCGAAGCCAACGGGGTGGCAAGGTGTTGCTGCTGTGATAGGAGAAAAGTCTCTGACAACGTTAAACCAAATGGAAGGTCCCGGGAGGGAAGGACCTGATATGAGAAAGTGATATAAAGTTGTCAGAAGAGACACAAGTCTCAGGAAATGATGGAATACAAAGTCAGGAAGGGAAGAACAGAAAACAGAGACCAGCTGGCCCAGAAGAAATCCTGTCCCAATTTCAGAGGACCGGAAACCCAGGGATTTGGAATGGAAATGGTTGGTAGCGTGGCGGTCAGAGACCAGCTGTGAGCACTGTGCAGGCCCGGCGGCCTGGGAGCCTCCAGCGGGAGCCGGGTCGGGACCCTGGGCCATGTTTTCTGCTCCACGCTCTGACCGAAAACCTGTCCCTCAATCCCTGGAGTTTTTGTGGCAAACGCAAATGTGGGCGCAGGCTTCGCACAGATGAAGACCGGCTCTGCAGCGCAGGGGACGCTCCTGCCTGCGTGGACCTTGGGTGTTGGGAGAGGCCGGAACTGTGGACGGAGGGCAGCACCAGGCAGTGCAGCCAGGTCAGAAGCAGGCGGCCTGGCCATGGCACCGAGCAGGTCCCTGCAGGGTGTGGGTGGCCAGTGCTAGGCTCAGTTAGGAAAACTGTCAGGGCTTTACACAGCCTTTGGGGGAGAAGGGGCTTCGCAGTTCCGACCTTCCCCCCTATATGACTGTGAGACCCCATAAGCTCCAACCCCCCCAGCAGCCACAGGCCCCTCGTAGCTCTGGGCGCAGTGGGTGGGAGATATGGCATTGTTACCCCCCCTGCCAGACTCCAGGCCCTGTTGACCAAAATGCCTTTTTCTTTTTCTAGAACAGAACACAGCTGAGAGCACTTTTCACTGTCACAGTGGAAGAAAAGGTAAAGGTGAGAGAAAATATCCAGCCTGGACACTGCTTTATGCCCCACCTGTCTTGTGCCTGTGGGTTGGGGTCTCTTATTCTCAGAGCTGGGGAGGGGCCCGCCACCGGCCCATACCAGGCTGGGGGCTCCAGAGGTCTGGGGTCCCCACTGTGTGCTAGGATGTACGGTCATTTTCCTGGGGTGACCCCTCCCTCTGTGCCTCTGTCCTTCCACCTCACACACACCCTGTAGCACTTTTGGCCGGGCCGGCTGTGGGCCGGGTTTTGTCTTCTCGAACCTTCCCTTGCTCCACACTCCGGGGCGGTTCCCCACCTCCTTGCTGTTCACTGTTGGCACGTCCCCATTTGCGTTCATCGGTTCGGACACTCACAGCTCACACACGCCCTCCTTCCCTCGTCACCAGCTGTTCCCCCACCTCATGGCTGCACTGCACATTTCTTAAGCACCTACTGTGCGCCAGGCTTTCCGAGTGAGTGGTGTACATGTGTGCGTCCTGTCATCTTTTCAACAGTCAGAGATAGATTCTATGTGTGAACCACCCCCATTGTGTCGGTGGGGAAACCGAGGCACACCTAGGTCATGTAATTTGCTCCAGGTCACACGGCTAGTGTATCAGGGTTCCTGATGCCCCAGGAGGACTCACAGGCGGCACGTGCGGTCCCACTCGCGGCTGGGACATCACAGGGAGAGGATGCAAAGTGGAGTCGCCCAGGGAAAAGCATGTGGGTGGAGTCTGGAGGGCCCGGCACACGCTCAGTTCCTCCAGCCCTGAGTTGGACGACCGTGTGGGGCGTTGTCCACCAGGGGAGCTTGTCGGAGACCCAGGGTGTTTATTGGGGGCTGGGCACATGGGCACCCTGTGCTGGCCTGTCCCAAGGTTCCAGCCCCCAGAAGGAAAGCCGGCACTTGGCGTAGACCCCGTCACTGGCATGGCAGCTGGCACAGTGAGTGCCTCTCATTGGGGAATGGTGGGCACCCGCCTGGAACTGAGCTCCCGGATGCCGGTGCAGGGCCGCCTTGTGCACTGGGGTGGGGGGAGCAGCCTCGGGCCTGCTGGGTGAGCGCATCTCGGCACAGCTAGTGGTGTTCGGACCAGGGTCTGCCCCAGGCCGTGGGCTCCAGAGCCCTGCTGCTGGCAGTGGGTGGGCCGCACGGCCTCCCAGGGAGCCGAATTTCCACTGGGGGGGTGGGGAATGGCAGCGACAGCTGAGCGTGGCTGTGGGAGGCTGACGGTCTCTGCGGGGCAGGGGGCCCCACGGTGCAGACGGTCCCCCGATTGGTCTGCGAGCTCCGGCAGCGGGCGTGTCTGTCTCGCCCTTGTGTCCCCTGCTGAGCTCTGCCCTGTGGGTGGCACACCTCACGTGCACATTCCCTGATTGAGCTGATTGTCATCAGCCACGGTGATTACTTCTCGGGGAGGAGGTGCAGGTTGTCGTGTGATTGCAATGGAAGCCCGAGGACATTCGTTTAATGAATATTTATGAGCCTCCCTGCAGGCCCCGGACTGTCACCTGGGGGCAGAGATGAACCCCGCAGGTCTCGGGGCGGCCTTCAGTCGCCAGCACCTGCAGGTGTCCCCCAGGCTGTGGACCCGCAGGTGCGGCAGTGCAGCGAGGGGGTGGAGCCGGGCGACCTCGGGCTGCGAGTGGGAAGACACTGCGCACGCATGCGGTGGCCTACGGTGTTGTGGGGACCACACGGTCCTGGACCCAGAGGCCCGGCTCTGAATCCCTGTCCCCCCCAGACTGTGTGTGAACTCGTGCCTGTTGCCACCTTCCTGGGCCTGAGTTTCCAGCTGTGAAACGGGAACGACAACAGCACCCGTCTCATGAGGCGCTTGTCAAAGGGGGCGTGGGGCTGTGTGCCCAGCACTCAGTGGGTGCTGGCATGTGAGCGCTCAGCAGTGTCACTGGTGTCACTGTCACTGTCACAGGCAGATGTCACCCTCGGCACACGTGCTGTGATAATCACGAATGAATGGTGTGGCTCAGCGCGTCCAGTGCAGATGCCCACGTGTGTCAGTGTGTGACTCAGGCCCCCGTGGGGTTCTGAGGTGTCTCGGAGTCTGGGGCAGCCTGGAGGCTCAGGCGGCCCATCGCCCTGCTGTCCCTCCGCCCACGCCGAAACATTCAACGAGGAACAAGGTCTAAGGAGGCATACAGCTGTGAGTGGCTTTGTGAGGTTGTGAAATGCTGACCGTGTGCACCGCAGGTACTGCCCGGAGAAAAGGCGCTGCGTGGCTTCACTGCACGGCAGGCTTCACTGCACGGCAGGCTTCACTGCACGGCAGGCTTCACTGCATGGCAGGCTTCCCGCAGGAGGTAAGAATTCAGCTGGACCGTCGAGCGAGGATTTCGTCAACGGGAGAGGAGGGAGGGCTGTTCTAAACTGTGCAGCTGGAAGTCTGACTCCGGCCACGCCAGTTGGTTGGTGGATGGGAACCGAGGGCTCCAGGGCACAAGCTCCGTGCTGGGCACCAGTGAGACACACGCGGGGTGAGGCAAGGCCCTCAAGACACAGGACCCATCCTATTGGGCTTGACGCGGGCACCTGCAAAGACAACATCCTCACACTCGGGAAGCGTGACAGTGATGAGTGGGAGGGGCTCGGCAGTGAGGACAGAGGCTCCTGGACATTCACATCAAGCAGTTAAAAGACACAGTGAAGACATCAAGTGACCCACTGCGGGTGCTGGGATTCTGCGCCTCTAGTAAGAGACCGCATCATGTCCTTCAGTTCTGTTGCTTTCCTGAAGGTGAACCTGACCTGTGCTGGACGTGGAGTGGACACAGCTGGACATCACGCTGTGCTGGACATTGAGTGCCGGTGCCCTGATTGTACCAGATGTCGCCACTGCTGCTTATGTTGATTGATTGCAGGTGCCCAGGGAAGGGTTGGGTGCCATGCTGCACAAGGGCAGACGGGACCTCGACTGGAAGCCAGAGAGGGACTTGGGAAGCAGTCGTGAGGTTACCAGTGAGAATTCCGGTGGGATTTGGTGTGTGTGGGGGGGTGTGGTCAGAGCCATCAAACTTCACCCACAAATGTCAATTTATGAAACTGGATGAAAAAAATTGAAAATGAAGAGTGAAGGGGGAGGATCCGCCCCCACAAATACTGCGAAGTTCTAGAGCCATGAAGGCTCCCAGAGGAAAAGTCAGACTGATGGGACAAAACAGAGGGTCTACACCCGTGTGTGTAATAAAACGGTTTTTCAAATCAATGGGGAAAGAACATCACTCACAAATTTGGGGACAACTGACTAGAACTTTTGGAAGAAAACTAAAGATGAATGTCCTCACCAGATTAATACCTAACTGCATAAAATACGTTGTCAAAGGCAGGTACACATTAGTAGTCTGCGATGGGAAGGAAAACCGTGGACTCGGGCATATGAGGAGTTGAAGACTTGACATTGAAATGTAGCCAGAAGAAAGGTAGTGACACGTGTGGGAAAATATATAAAAACAGGATTGACGTGTTTAACAGAGAAAAGCTCCTGTTACTCAGTAGGAAAAAGAGCGGCTCCACCTGACGTGGGAATTTCTTTTTCCAATACAAGTGTTATGGTGGGTCCACCCGAGCCCCGGAGGGAGCCTGTCGCTGGGGGCAGGGTCACGTGGCTTTGCGTTGAACTCGGAGGGCCGCAGCCGTGTGACCCCTCTGCCTTCTACCTTCCTCCCACCAGTCAAGTCCCGCTCCCCGCAGCCCGTGGTCCCCACAGCAGTGATCTTCCTAAAGCACAGGCCTGCTGGCTTTTCATTATGGAGGGCCCCCCACCGCCTGCTGGATGAAGCCCAGTTCCCGGAGATTGGTTCTCGGGACCCCTGGGGCCAGTTGACTGGCTGCTGCCTCCAGTGCCCTGGGCCCTGGTGTTGCACATGCTGTTCTCTGCCTGCCTGGTCCTTTGGGCAACCTGCAGACATCCCGTGAATGCTGACCGGCGTCTCCTGTACGATGATCCTGAACCTCACTCCGGCAGGCTGGTGGAGCTGCTGGTGCTGGGACAGCTGGTCAGCCTTGCCTCTCTGCGATGTGGAGTTTCTCTTCTTGGTTGGCAATTAATGCATTTTTGTGGACATCAAGATGGACTCTTCCCCCCTGACCCCCAAGAAACTTTAGAGATCGTCTAGTTTATACTTCCTCACCTGACAGGGAGAAGCTTGGGTCTGGAGAGGCTCCGGGAACTGGCTGAGGTCCTGCAGCTGAGGACCCTGATTGCACTGTGCGCTAGTCCTCTGACCCACCGAGTCGCCCGATGGGTGACTTACTGATGAGTGAGGGTGGCTGCACCTACGAGTACCTTCAAGCTCTTGCAAGAACTGTCACCTGGGAAAACAGGAGTCTTGGCCTGCGGAGCCGTTCCTCCCTGGCTGTGGGACTGCCACCAGCAGGTCCCTGACCCTCTGCATCCTGGATCTTTAGCCCAAAGTGGAGCATCTCAACTACATGACTCCTGAAATCTCTTCTGGAGAAATCATTCTGGGTGCTTTCCCCTTAGCCTGTTCCAGTTTTCCCGGGCTGGTTTTTCAAGCCCAGATCCACCTCAGAAGGAGCCTTGCTAACTCAGGAGTTAAGACAAAACTCGGGAGCATTGCTGGGGGGTTTTTTGCCGAGTTGGTTTCAGGTTCTTCAGATGGTAAATAGCCTTCTCCAGTGCCCCGTTGAGTTCTTTGAGGCTAAAATAAAATAAAATGGGAGGGGAAACCAAACTTTGTCTGGTTTCGAGGGGGAATGGGTGGGATTTAATACGTGTCCGTTTGAGGACATCTTGATGAAAAATCGACTCTATACCTGGGCGGGGGGAGGGGTGGAGGGAGGCGGAGGGGAGATAAGAAAGAGAAAGCTGGGCAAATAAAATACCATCGCCTCATAATCCCACCACCATGGAGAACTGTTGCCAACACGTTAGCTTCTTACTTCCACGTGTCTATATTTATTAGGTAATGGAAGCCACACAGTGTAAACTGTTCTGCCTCATGCTTTTGTCTTTGGTGTTGGATTTCGAGGGTTGAAAGCATTCCTTTGAAAGCCGGTCTGTCTGGTACCGTGCTGCACACGCATAGTGAGGGGACGTCAAAGGACCTGCTGTCGGCCAATGCGCGGTTAAGGTCACAGTGACCACAGCCGATCTTTTCTGGGGACAACAAGGGAAGTTAGCCAGGGCTGGGGCATGAGAAAGGGGGTCCCTGAGCCACTTCCTTCTCTTTATTCTTAGAAAGTGAAGTTTAAGGTGACGGGACACTTGGAGATCTGCACTTGCGGTGATTGTCAGTGGAGTTTGGCTGCTAGACTTTTAGGGAAAAATCTCTAAAGTATGATTAACTTGGGGCTGATCTCCGCTGCTCTAACCTGCTCTGGTTTTTTAATTTGTCCCTGCGGTCGTGGGTCCCAGCACCACCCAACCTCCCGAGCAAGACACTCAGGGACATTCTCCCCCCCCAACTCCTCGCCACCAGCCCCACATCCGTTATACGACTCAGCCACTGCACCCTGTGGGCGCTGCCTCCTGGTCTGCCTTTAATCTGCACCGTCTCCCAGTCCAGCGGTAGTGGAAGTAGCAGCAGCCCAGATGCACGACCTGACTCTGGGCACCTCAGTGCATCGCAGTCGGACCTGCTTGCTATGTGCGGGGAAGTGCAGATAACAAAACTGTTGATTGTTTATATTTAGTGCATCCACGCCAGGCTGTGCAACCACCACCACTGTCTAGTTCTGGAACATTCTCACCGCCCAGATTGAAACTCTGTGCCCGTCAGGCAGTAGTCCATTCCTCCCTCCCTCCCCTTCCCCCAGCCCCTGGCAACCACTCACCGGCTTTCTGTCTCCATACACTTGCCTGTTGGGGACATTTCAGATAATGGAATCATACCCTGTGTGCCTTGTTCTGTCTGGCTTCTTTCGCTTAGCTAATATTCTCGAGGTCCCTCCATGTTGTCGCATGTATGAGCACGTCATTGCTCTTCATGGCTGAGTAATGTTCGGCTGTACAGACAGACCACATCGTGTTTACACTCACATGTGGCATCGCACTGCATTCCTGGTCCAGTGAACCCCTGGCCCAAAGCTCCTTTTCTGCCTTAACTTGGCCGTGATCATCTGGACAGTCAGGTTGGCCTTGTCGGTCTATCGGAAAAACTTAACCTCGACTCGCATTGTGACCACAGCAGTGAGGAAGGGGTCAGTTGTCCTCCGGCTCTGAAGGCACAGTGATGTTCCCATCACCTGGAGCCGTTTTTAACTAAACTTGGTCTCCCTGGTTGGTTTCTCCAGAGCAGATGCGGAGACAAGGTCTGGGGTATGGGTACGGCACATGCGCCGGTGTGCAGAGACCAGCTAGCACGGCAGGCCCGAGGCTGCTGTGCTCCGAAAGGCCAGCTTGCAAGGTTGGCCCTGGGCTGACATCTGGGACCTTGGACTTCAGGAGGGTTGCCACTATCCCCCAAACTGATGAGTGGCTCCTGGGGCCTGGGGCCTCAGCTGTTTTTTATAAATGATACCGTTTATGCTGAATACCGGCTTTCCTTCCGGGAGTCCGGAATTTTGGTACATGCCAGGCGGCGGGTGTCTGAGTGGCCCTTCCTGAATCCAGTGAGCTTTGCTGCGTGACAGCATTTCACGTGAATTGTCACAGTCATTGCTCGGCGAATACAGCCTGTCACACCCGTGTGACTCCATGGGGTTTGCCCCATGTGCCTTATCCCTTCACTGATTTTGCCTTGAATCTCCTTGCTGTGATAAGTCACAGCTGCGAGTGTGACTATATACTGCATCCTGTGAGTCCTCTTAGTAAATTGTCAAACCTGAGGGGGGTTGTGGGTCCCCCACCTCGCCAATCGGTGGTCACCACTGAAAGGGAGGAGGAGGAAGCAGAATTGGACGGAGGAAGAAGTTGAGCTCTGACCTGAGCCGACAGAGCCTCACCCTCACCCGGCAGGGAGCTCTGGATGAGTGTTGCCTGGCCGACCCCCCTCACAGGGCTGAACTGACTGGCCACTGGGCCCCTGCTACGCTGCTACCTCAGGCGAGGCCTCAGGCGAGGTGTCTCTTTGTAGCTGATCTAGACCATGAACCTGGGTCTGCTGACCACACTGCTGTAGCTGGGCACCGAGTGCATCCTTGAAGGGGGAGCTGGGTGGTGCATCTTCTTATCTACCAGACTTACCCCTCAAAGAATATTTATTATCATAATTTGTGTCTCCTGATTATACAGGTATACGCTGTAGAGACCTTAGAAAACAAAGTTAAAAGACTCACGGAGTCGCCGCACGCAGCACGGCTCTGCAGGACTTTCCTCAGGCCTGCGCGTGTGCCAGGGTTGCTTTCACTTTCACGAGATCGGGGTTTTATTGTGCGTGCGGTTTGGTGTAGTCTTTAAAAATGTTCCATGAGGACATAAGCATTTTTGATATTGTTAAAAATTTGACACAAAAATCCGTTGCTTTTCTACACACTAACAGTGAACACCACGAAAAGGAAATTGCAGAAACGGTTTCACTGTAGCATGAAAGAGAACAAGGTACTTAGGAATGAACTTAACCAGGAGGAGAAAGACTCGCACACCGAAAACCGCAGAGCACGGCTGGGAGAAGCGGGAGCAGGCACATGTATGTGGAAAGTCATCCCTGTACGCTCTCCTTGTACGCACACTGGAGGACCTCATGTGTTGTAATCTGCGGATTCTGTGCAATTTCTGTCAAAATCCCCGTGGCATCTTCCTGTAGAAATAGAAAAACCCACCCTAAAGTGCATATAGACTCTCAAGGAACTCGAAATCGCCAAAGCAACCTGAAAAAGAACAAGGCTGAGGTCTCACACTTCCCGATTTCAAACATATCGCAAAGCTACAGTCATCAAAACCACGTGGTCCTGGTGTAAAGACAGGCACAGACCAATGGAATAGACTCAGAAGCCCAGGGAAAAGCCTGGCATGAGTAGTCAAGTGGTTTTCAGCAAGAGTGACAGGACCATTCGGGGTGGAAGGACAGTCATCGCAACAGCTGGTGGTGGGGAACGTGGACGTCCCCCGAGAGGAATGAAGCTGGGCCCTCGCCTCACGGTATATATAGCAACCAACTCCAGATGGATCGGCAATGAGTGCAAGACCTAAAGCTATCACAGTCTTAGAAGAAAACAGAGGAAAGCTTCTTGACATGGGATTGGCAATGATTTCTTGGCTATGACACCAAAAGCACAGGCAGTGAAAGAAAAAAATAGATAAATTTGGTTTCTCTTAAGGGGACCAGCTAGGAGGTGACAAGTGGGGTCCAAACCCAGCTCCTTCTCACTGACTGTGTCCTTGTCCTGCTGTCAGTAAGTTATGAGTGAACCTGAAAGGTGTGAAGTGTGACCACAGGCCAATCCCTGTCACTCTCTTGTCCCTGTAGGTTCTTCCAAACCATGGCCTTCACGCAGCCGGGTTCTTCGTGGCCTTCGTCATCTCCCTTGTGCTGACCTGGGTCACCCTTTTCTTCATGGTTCGGCATCAGTGTTTGAAGGGAAGCGTGCTCAGCAGACATCAGGTGAGTTTCAAAGTATGTCTTCTTCCCAAGGGTCGGTCACTTGATTGGTGATGGGTGTGTTAAGTTGAAGTTTATCCTCCTGTTCAGCCGATCTCAACCCTGGGTGGACATCAGGATCCCCCAGGGAACTGCGGACAGATGCTCGTGTCCAGGCCTACCTGCAGAGGTTCTTATTGGACTGTCCCCCGATGTGCCCCGTCGTTAGTCATTTTTAAAAGCCCCCCAGATGATTCTAGCAAATGACCAGTGTTCAGAACCCCTGCTGTCTGGCCGAGTAACCGAGTGCCCACCTGTGTGGCCACTCCGTAGTCTTGCCACACCCTGGCTCAGGTTCCGTCTCACGCTGCCTGCTGAAATGCCTTTGGAGACCCCCGTCATCCTCAGGGGGAGGCCTAGGACCCCTGGCACGGCTCATGAAGACCCTGTGGTCCTGCCCCTGTGCACCCCTCCTACCACTCTCCGCCTCACGCTGCAGCTTCCCCTCCACCCAACGACTTGCCACTCACACTCACCCCAGATGCTTGTTCAGTCCCTGCTCTGCTTTTCAATGAGCATAACTGTGACTCACTCTTTAAGACTCAGCTCGGGCCCTGTCTGTCCCTGGAAGCTGTCACTGCCACTTCCTGGCTGAGTTAGGGCCTTCTCTCAGGGTTCCCACGGCAGGTTCTGTAGACGCCGTGTGGCGCTCACCCTCGCCTGCTGGGCCCCTCTGTGAGCGCCCCAACCCCCCTACTCCTGTCTTTGTCTGGGTTCCCCAGAAGCACATCCTGAGACTGGAATCCGAGTGCATGTGGTTTGTGTGGGAAGTGACCCCCGGGAGTAATGGGGAGGGCTGGGGGAGTGAGGCAGGGCCCGGGGAGGCAGCCAATCAAGGTGGCCCGTGGGCACCTGGAGCTTTGTTCTGCTCGGGCACCCTGGGGACAGTGAGGGACCTCAGAGTCATCACTCGAGCAGAGACAGAGCTGGGGTATTTATCTTTCTAGTCCCATGGGTTATTGGTTGAGGATGTGGGGCGGCGGGTGGGCTGGGGTTGACATTTCCCAGTCATGGTCTCTGAAGGTCAGCAAAAGCATTCTGGGAAGGAAGTGTAGGTATTGGCTGGTGGATGTTGGGCTGGTGGGCACTGAAGTGGCAAGGGTGAGGGGACATGGGCAGAAAAGAGATGGTGTCTGCTGCGGTCCCCATTTGCCTGGTGTGGGGCCTGGTGCTTAGAAGGCACTTAAAACACGTGTGAAGGAAGGAAGGCGGCTCGGTCAGTTAGCCACTTCTGTCTACAGTTCTGTATTCTGATCAGAAAGCTGCCAGGTCCTGATGTTGATGTCCATTTGCCGACCGTAATTTTCCTCTCCATGTTGGTGGTGATGGTGATGGTGATGGTGATGTTGGTGGTGATAGTGATGGTGGTTATGGTGATAGTGATGGTGGTAGTGAGAGTGATGTTGGTGGTGATGATGTTGATGATGGTGATGGTGGTGGTGATGGTGATGTTGGTGGTGGTGATGTTGGTGGTGATGGTGATGACGGTGGTGATGTTGGTGGTTTTCAGGGAAGTGGGATGGCAGCTCATCAGCTGAGGAGCGCTCTGGGAGACCACTCGCAGAGGGCACTGCCGGGGGTCAGCATTTCTTCACCACCATGCTTCTGACGGGGGGCAGAAGCTGCTGTGACTGACACCCAGAGGCCCAACAACTTGGAGGAACATCTGTCATCTTTCTCCTTCTTTATATTGGGGAAACTGAGGCCTATGAATTTAAAGAACTTGCTCTAAGTGACCACATGTAGCCTGGGATCTGGCTGCTGGGGGGCCCCTCTCTCTGGAGGCTGGAAGGCCGGTCCCCTTGTTCATTTTGCTTCCGCTTCCTGGAGCAGAGGATTGTCATTTCAGCACGAGGCCAGCCCACTGTCTCCTTGGCAGACAGAAGTGAGGGGATGGAAAATGGCCATCTAACTGGACATTCCACTGACCCTCCCAAAGCCGTATCAGCCACAGGAGAGCAAAACTCGCCCTTCACGTTGAGGAAGGAGCAGGGTGCACTTCCCGGACATTATACACTGAGCATTATGACTGCGGGGAGGAAAGCCAAGTGCCAATTTGATTTAAGGTTGAAAACCTTGCAGTATTTTCCTCCATCACAGAATGAACTCTGGTCACATTTTTCTTTATTTTTCCCAACATGGTAGCCACCAGTGAGATAACGTTATATAAATCAGAAGGAGCCTTTGGGCTTGGATGACTCGGGAGCAGCTGCTCATCTGGCCTTCATGATCTGTGCAGCCTTGGACAACGTCCCGTCCCCTCTCTGAGCTGCAGGCTCCTTATGTGTAAAGTGGGGGCAACAAAACTTACTTTGTTGTGACAGCTTCGCGATATGACACAGACAAGGCACAGGGGCAGGGCTTGTTAACTGTTAGCTACAGTTAGCACCCATTTCTGCAGAACTAATAATGGGGACAAGACAGACATATCATCTATCCAATCAGAGCGCTGGGTGTACTCATTTCTGATGTCACTTCTTACAGTCGTATATTCCGATGACAAAACCAGCCAGATTCATGATGTTGGTGATGGCGAAATATTTTTATAGGTCTTTATATGTTGAGATTATCCATTTGTTGCCTTGTTTCATCCACACAACTCTGTGCATGGCTCCTGGAGTTACGAGCCCATTTCTCCGATGAGAAATGAAAGACTCAGGGAAGTGAGTCTCTAATTTCTGAGGCAGGAAGTGGGTCAGGAAAGTCTTGCCTGAGTTTCCCCTGCTCCCAGGTGGTGGGTTCAGCCTGGTTCTCTGACTATAGACCCCGCCTTCCCTCGTGACTTGCAGCACCGATGGCCACGAGAAGACCTGCCGAATCACTGTTTCTGAACTTCTCCCTCAGGGTCAGCATCACGAGAGCAAGCTGGAGCACGCCCAGTTCACGTCAGCCGACGCCGTGGACGAAGACCTTGCCCTAAATGACCAGATGGTAGACATTCTGTCCTCAGAGGACCCCGGGAGCATGCTGCAGGCCTTGGAAGAGTAAGACTTCTGGTTCTCGTTACACTTTCTGGGGCGCGGTGACTGGGTTCGCTGCAGCGGCATGAGTGCGAACACTGAGTGTATTTCGTTCATTCACAAGTCTGTCCATTCGGGAATTTGTCCCTCAGTCGTCACCATCAAACAGCTGCTACACTCCGAACACGGTGCTGGTATTGGGGACAAGGTGTGAATGAGACACAGCTCATGCTATGACGCAGTCCGACCTGGTGTCAGGAGGACTCCTCTGCCGGGGTGAGGGTCCCCAGAGCTGGTTACTGGGTGTGACGTTGGGTGCAGGGAGCCTCAGGTGACTCCCCTGTCCTGGGTTTTGCTTGTTAGTGATTTGGGGTTCTTTTTTTTTGAGTGGGAACGGAGGGAGCACCCACAGCTCTGGCTGCTCAGTGGGTCCAGGGTGGCAGGGAAGTCCCAGCAGGAGGTGGGGGGGCTCTGTCTTTGCCAGAGCGTTTGATGCTGCGTCTGGGCAGAGGTCTCCGCGAGATCCGCCTGTGCCAGAGGCACCGCCCCAACAGGGCGGGTTCTCCAGTTGGAGCTTTTCCTTTGCTTGCTTACTGCACTGAGTTACTCATCATGGGGCCACACGGGAGCCCCCTAGGCTGGATTCCATTACGGCAAACTTTCTCTGATTCCGGGCTCAAAATGCACGGCCGCCCCCCGGGGAGCTATTTCCACTGATCTGGAGTGATCTCGTGGCTGATACAGTAAAATGCCTTACAGTTTTAGGTAATACCTTATAGTTGTTTAGCAATTTAAAATACTCGGTCTCTCTCCCGCCCCTCGGTTACTGTGGTCCTCCCACTAATGTCTGCGTCGGGCATTCATGCTGTGGATTTGACAGTCGAAGACTCTGCTGCTCTGCTCAGTGGAGAGGTCTGTCCCCAGTCACATGACTAGTAAGGGACAGAACAGGACTTGAGCTTTCTCAGTATTTCATCTCAAACGCATTATGGTTTACGTACATTCTCTGATCCTCAGTTTCCTCATCTGTCCCCTGGGGCACTGTAAGCCACCGCCTTGGGAAAGCGTCACGCTGAATGTTAGGGAAGAGATGTGGGGGTGATGTGTTCTTGCTGCGGCGTTGGCCCCAGCCTGGCCTGATTCGCAGGGCAAAGAGCAGGCCCTGCAGAGAGGCCGTCTGGGTGACCGGGGGCTCCTCGGGCCTTTCTCCAGAGTGTTGCCGGCAGCAGCTGGACATGGGGAAGCTTGGGGGAAAAGCTGAGCAGCTGTGATCCTGCGTCCCTGGAACCTGGAAGTGGTGTCCTGTGGCCCATGTCCTGTGACACATGGAGACAGACACAGAAACAGCACTGCCCTGTCCCAGGAGTGCCGAGTCCTTAGCCTGAGAGGACAGCTCTCTCGGGTCTGACGCGGGGCTGCCCGTGAGCTGAGTGGGTGCTGTCAGCGGAGAGGGGCTTCCATCCTGCTGGGACGGGTGCCCCTGCCTGGCCGCGCTCCCCCGTGCCCTGCCAGGCTTCACTTCCTCAGTGCAGGGCTGGCCTGGCACCCGCCTGGCTCCCGTCTCACTGGCCCGCTTGTGGGTGTCGGGGTTGCGCAGCGGGGCTCATGGGCCTTTGTGCGGGTCCTCAGGCGTGATCCTTCGCTTCAGTTCAATTCCCTGATCAGAAGGCCAAGGGAGGCAGTTAAAATTAGCCACGCTGGCCAAGAGGGAGGAAGGAGGAAGAGGAGGATGGGCAGTCGGAGGAAGGGGGAGTCGCTGCAGGGCGGTAAATGTCTCGTGTTACAGGAAGTGGTGTGAGGAGGCAGGTGATTACCGACTTAGACTTCCGAGCTAAAAGTCAGTTTTCCTCCAACTGTGGAAATGCGAAATTGAGTGCAATGTGATCGGCCCCTAGGTACCTAATTGGCTTCTGACTGGAGCAGTGAGTACTTGAAAATTAACCCTCCTTTCTGATTCAAGCTGCGGTGGAGTGTCGGGAGCCCCATCGCTCTTCACCCCTGCACCGTGTGAGATGTCCTAGCCGCGTTGCCCAGTGCAGGGGTGTGAGTCTTACCAAGACTGTGTCCTTGTAGCTGTGGAATTTTGTGTTTCTGTCTCCTCGGGAGCCGATCCTGTTTTGCCCGAAGCGTGTTAAACACTCATTAGCAGGCAGGACCCGAGACGGCTTTGCTTCGGAGCCTGTGCGTCCCTCCCTCCCTCCTGCCCCCCAGCTTCCGGCCTCCCCGCCCTGCCCCACCCATCCCAGGGTCCCTGTGTGTTGAATGTCTGCTTCAGACACCATGGCTGGGTGCTCATTGGAGGGGGCTGGAGACACAGTTTTTAAAAAGATTCTATTTGTTTATTTTTAGAGGGCGGGGGGTGGACATCATTTGTGTGGTTGCTTCTCACGTGCCCCCTACTGGGGATCTGGCCCACCACCCAGGCATGTGCCCTGACTGGGAATCAAACCAGTGGCCCTTTGGTTTGCAGGCTGGTGCTCAATCCACTGGTCCACACCATCCAGGGCAAGGAGACACATTTTTAATGGCAGCATTGTGGGTTTCTCTTCATCTTTTCATCTTGGCTCATGGGGGCATCTCGAAAGAACACACGCCTCCGAATGTCAGGGGCTTCCTGTGCCTGAAATCTATGATGGTCTCCCAGTAACAGTAGCTTTTTTCTCCAGCTCAGCACTTACCTCACTTGTAATTCTTCGGCGAGGGTTAGCCGGGATTCTGGACAGGCCGTAGGCGGCTTGATGGACGCCGCATTCTAAGACCCATAAGAGCAGTTACTTTGCTGTCTTGCTGACTTGTTTATTTATTTCTCTACTGGGGGTGGGGCAGGAGGGGGAAGGGAGGGAAAGAAACAGGGATGTGTGAGAGAAACGCCGATCGGTTGCCTCTCAAATGCGCCCTGATGGGGGATTGAACCCACAACCCAGGCACGTGCCCTGATTGGGGATCGACCAGCAACCTTTTGCTCTGTGGGGTGACACCCAACCCACTGAGCCACACAGGTCAGAACTCGCTGATTTATTTATTTTTTTTGGATAAAGAGCATTTCCTTGGTTTGCTTGGTTGTTTCTCTTTTCTGCTGATTTTTCACAGGCTGCCGCTCACAGAGGGGACTGAGGGAGGGAGGCGTCCTCCGATTTTTATCAGGCTCCTGGGCTGTTGCCCTGAGGACGGATGCGGCCCAGCGCCAGCTGTGCTGGGCCAGGGGCAGGGAGGAAGTGGGTGCCACCGGCTGGCCCCGGAGGCTTCTGCGGCAGGCAGCAACCGTTTTGGCCCTGGCCCCGCTCTGGCCCTGACCTCTGCCCAGAACCCCTTGCCCACGACCGTATTTAATTCTCATGGCACCTCTCACGAGGGAGCCGATGTTCAGGAGGGCCTTCTGGTTTTGCCTACGGTCCCACGAGTTGTAATGGGTTTGGGCCCGGGCCTGAGTGCCCTTCCTTCAAATCCACTCTTCTACTGACACAACAGCTTTTTAAAAACACCGAGCTTAGATTTTCCCAGGGGGGCAAAGAAAGAGTAAGAGAAGAAAGAAATCCCAAGCCTGTGTGCATTTCCTCTGTCATTAGAAGAAAACGTATTTCTGCCTTTCGATATTGCCAGTACGCCTCAAAGTCGCGCCTCGTGCGCAGGAGGGCGTCCGTGAGCGCTGGCTGACCCGGGCCTGGAGAACCGGAATTGAGTAGTTTCTCCTGTGTCAACCATGCGATGTGTCTCTTACAACTGCTGCCCTTTGGACCCAGAGACACCCCAGAGACGCGACTTGGTCCCTCATCTCAAACCTGGAAGCCGCTTGCCCAGGTTTCTCTCGTCCATTTGTTCTCTCTCTGTGCTCTTTGTGGCAATTTCGGGAGGGACTTGATGCCTTGGTTACCCTGTCAGATCCTCGCTGGGGGTCCCTTCTGCGCTGGGTGTGTGGCAGACCCTATCATCTGCTACAGGGTCCTGGTTTTTGTCCTCATGAACTCGACAAGCAGCATACAATGCAGCACCGATGACTGCCCACTTGTCACTGTGGCGAGGGCTGTAGGGGAATAGGAACAGCAGGAGGCCTGCTCTGGTGTGGGGTCTCGGGGCGGCCCCTCTAAGGGGGTCAGTTAAGCCGAGATCTGAGTGGTGAGCACTCTATGGGGGCAGTGTGTGCAGAGCTCAGGGCACAGTGTTTGATGACCAGGAGAGAGGATGTGGCCGGGGTGGCAGGAACTTGGGAGGTGAGCCGGAGGGTCACGTGCGGTCAGTGGGCGCCGTTCCCTGGAGCAGCTCTGCCGCCGCCGCCTGTCTCTGCCCTAAAACTCTGATTCTCTGCGTATTGTGCCCAAGGCTGTCGGAAGCCACTTGTTTGTCTGTCTTTTTTTGTGGTGTCACCGTGTTCTGGCTTCCCCATCCAGGCAGTGAGATCACGAGGGCAGGAGCTTTCTGTCTCGTTCATTGATTCATCCCCAAGGCCTCAGACAGCGCCTCACACATAGTAGTAGGTGCTTGCGGGGTTGGTGACATACCCAGTGATGTGCTTGACGGGCCGTCAGCAGGTTTTGCCGGCAGGTAAAATCAGGGTTGTCTGGGGACTTCGACAGCAAAGATTACGAGGGGCTGCGGCGGGTCCCAAACCGGAAGACAACACAGCACGTTCCCTGATGCGACACGGCCTCACAGGTGGCCCAGGGCTGCCCCGAGGACGGAAGCTCTGCCTGGGACACTCTCCCAGTGGGACGTGCTGCCAGGAGCTGGAGCTGTCCCTGCCATCTGTGCGGAGTCGTTCTGCTGTGCCCCGTCACCCCTCTGCGCCTCGTCACTCCTCTGTACCCCGTCACTCCGCTGCGTCCCGTCCATCTGATCGGCTGCTCACAGCCCCCACCTTGGAGCAGGGAGAAGGCCTGGCTCCCGGGAGGGTCCTCCAGGATTTAGTCTGTCCGGCGTCCATCCCGTGGGCTCATGTATTTTGGGATTGAAGAACGAATGAGGGACCGTGCCAGGATCTGCGGATGGGTTGGCAGCGGGGTTTGCGCCTAAGTTTCACGCTGAGCAAC